TTCTCGAAGTTTGGTTACAGATGATAGTTCAAAGGAGCCAGGTCAAGTACTTGAGGGGTGGTGGTCCTGGATCGACCGGAATTTCATGGTGTTCAATTTGGCAGTCTAAAATTTGGGTGCTTGCCCAGATGCATTGTCCTGCAAAACAAGGATCCTCTTGTTGAAGTTCTCACATCGTTTCGTCGTATGTGTTTCTTTCATGTGGTCCAGGAGAGTGACATTAAATCATCCAATGATACTAAAGCCCTGATGCAGAAAGTCAATCAACGGAATATGGTCCTTGTCCCGGAAAACGGACGCTATGGTTTTTGGTCGATTTCCAGACGCATGAATTCACACTGATACTCATCATTTGTTCGTTCTTTGACTTCACTATCGTACATTTGAAGCCGTTTTACTCTCCCTCAACAACCTAACCAAAAAATTATATGCAACCTCAAAGCAAACCGCAATGGTTTTGGGGCTTCAGCTTGTTCCTGTCGTCCCCTCAGGCGTTTCGGCACCCACTTCGCTGAAAGCTTAGCATCATGGAGATAATTACTTCAACACGGTACTTGAGATGTGTGGTAGCTGAGCTTGTTTTTTTCCCGGTTATTCGCCAGTCCTCCGCAATCAGTTCGTGAATAGCGCCGCAACTTGTCGAATCGACTGAGGCTAGGGGTTGTCCACTACGGGCCTCATCTTTAATGAATTAATGTCCAGTATTGGAATAGGACGTCGCGGGTTGGAGCCTGCACTTGGCCCGGCGACCCTCCCAGTATCCTTAGCCCACTTGCGATCAGTGGTGGTTTCGCGTCAGCGAAGCCTTGCTACTGCGTACCGGCGTAGTGCTAATGTTTTTCTTTCTTTTTGACAGTTCTATAGGTGAGACCCCCTCCTCAGTCTTATTGATGGCTCCTTGTGTAGGTTCTATTCTTTACCTTTTTTATAGAAACAAAACTTTATAACGACACGTAACTCTAATTTAAAAATTACTTATGTAAAGATTACTCTGCCATCACTACTTTTACCTTAGGTCTAAAACAGCTGTAGAACTCACCATCACCTGAAATCTGCACATCTACTCGCTAAGAAATTAGCCCTAACCGGAGGCATAGCAGGAAATTTATCACTACTTCGCAAATCACCAGATTATCCTTCGTGATAAAACAGCACTGTGAAATAGCAAGCTGATTTGCGTAGTTCCGTAGGTATCTAATGTTCGCCTTCAAAGTCATTTGTGCCCTACTCGCCAGCAGTTAGGTGCCAAACAAACTCGGCTTCCATCATTGCTTGCTGAGGTGACAGCTGCCTATAAACTCAGTCCGAATGACATGTAGCTCACACACTGGTACGAGTGCTCGTTGGTTTGTCACCGTTGCCTCAAGTCAGGTTGCTTTTCTTCACTTTTTTGCAAGCTGCTCGATCTCTTTCGTTGTCGGCCTTATAAATAGCACACATGAATTTTTATAACTACTACAATGCCGTACAGACGGTCTCATGCAAATCCCCACGGAACTCTCCTGTCCTACTCTCAAGCCTGCTATGTTGGCTATTGCCTTGCGAGTCAAACTGTTGAGTAAAACACTGGGACTTGGTTTTCGAAAAACTTCTCTCTTTCGAACTGGATAACCGGAGAATATCATCAATCCACAAAGCATCCTCAGTGTTGATCGTTCTACTTCCGTTCTCTTCATTTGGGTATATTCTTGTGCTAATCTTTAAACGCTCACCTGTGTCTTCATTTATCACCTTTCACATATATGGTTGCTTTCCACACATTATGTTACATCGTTCAACATCCGTCGTTAACCGTTACCTCACCCTCCCACGGAGTTTATCCGAAACACTCATACTGAAAGACGGCGTCCTAATACTTCACTCACTAAGATCGCTTTCCATTGATAGAGCTTTCACCTTCCATATCTCCGATGATGTTACTTCATTGGCTACCGACGCTTGCAATTTTAGGCTCCCTCTGACTGGGTTTGTGATGATGTACCTCTCTCATAATATTCATCATCATGAACACACGCTAGCTGATTGTGAGAAATGCACCTCGGCTAATGTTTCGCAATGTAAAACATAAGCTGTTAGACGTGCCAGATAACAAAAACTAAAAAGCTAACATAATGCTAAATATAATATTAGGCATTTGATATGAGATCATTGTTGGAGGGGGAAGCTAAAGAAAAACAACAAAGAAACTCAGCACACAAATGCCACTGAGGTCGGCTTTTCGCCATGTCAACTGGTGTATCTAACCAAACTTGTGCTTCGTTTTTCGGACCCCAGCTCGACAGTCGGTATGCACCAATGGGCGCCAACTTCGAAATGTGGGTTTTCATTCCTCTCGACCAACTCATCAGTTGGCGTGCCCCGCTCCTCCTCTTCCTTCCAGATTCCGGGTGGGCAAACGCATGTCGCGGGAATCGATCTGATGCAGTGCGCAACATGTAGCCCAGCCATCTGAGCCTGGTGCGTGATATACTAGTGCTGAGTAGTTCATTGCTCGCGCGGTATTCCCATCAGATATGAGTTAAGCTGCGAAGGCAACGATGGTTGTACATAGCTAGCATCCTTACTTCTGTCGATCTGATGGACCTGGTTTCGCAACCATAGTTAGTGAAATTTGGTTTCGGATTTATCTGTCGCTGTGGCCAACCACAGGATGCCTGCGGCTACAGAGGGACCATGAGTGGCTTGCGCTGCACCACCCACAGCTCCATCCCCTCACCCCATATGCAGTGTAAAACCGAATAAGACAATGAGGCATGTGAATGGGAGCCAGGTTTCATCAACGGAGCCGGCCCACACTCCTTCACAGGCAAACACAAGCACGCTGTAGTTGGGAAATCAATCGCACACAAGGCGGTGGCTGGACCGTAGTCCGCTCCACTCTGAGTGCATGGAACCACTCTTCGAGCCTAGCACGGCCACAAGGACTGTGCACCCCGTCTCCTCCAGCAACGACCAACTGTCTCCTGGAGCCAGTATGGAGGAGGTAGTGGGTACTAGACAGGTAGGCACCTTGTCAACATGCACAGCAAGCGCAGCCACTCCGGGGATATCAACCAACAGATTATCATTTGAAATGGCATTATCAAATAAAATATGACGTTTACAGCATCCGGTTATGCTGTCATAACTCTTTGCTAAATTGACATATGAAGTAAGTTGGTTAGCAACAAATGCATGGTAAGTACAAATTGTCCACAAGTTACTCAAAAAAGGTGACAAACGCGATAATGTTAACGAAGATAACCACGGTTAGCATAAGTAACGTGGTCAGTTAATAGATTTTTCAGGTAGGTTGGGGCAACTAATTTAGAGGCATTTGAGATCAGACTGATGCTTTTATGATTTCCGCATTCTGAACCTCAGCCTTCCTAGCAAATTGGGACTATGACGCAGTGGCTCCAGACTGTAGGGACAGTCTCCTACTTCCACAGCTTCACTACTAAGTTGTGCAAACCATCCGTGAGAGCTGCTTCCCCTGAATTCGAATAGGAATAGAGGAAGTCGGTCTGCTTCTTCGGCCTTATTCAATTTCAGCATTCTGATTTCACGTTCGGCTTCTGCGCGTGATGGTGGATCCAAAGTCACGTCCCAGTAAGAACGGCATTCAATATCCGGAAGGGTTGATAATGACTCAAAGTGTGCGGCCCAACGCTGCAGGCGTTTTTACAAGCTATGAATTGGTCATCCACTCTCGTCACGATTGGTTTCGCTAAAACCAGGTCTCCTGCTGCTCCTTCCCCGTATCAGACAGAATAACTTATGGTGGTTATCAACGGCAACAGTTATTCCCATCTCCGATGCCTGATGCGACCACCAGGCTTCTCGGTCCAAGAGGAGATATATAACCAATAAAATATAATACATGAAGTTACAACTTTAGTGTTAGTAGGATGCCTAATGCACTTATATTTTTGTGACAGTCCTTTGTTGCCTGCTTTCATTTCGCTGCCATTTATTTCTTCATATTTGTTTAAAGCATCATTGCTTTGATTGGCAGGCTCATTTCCGCTGACACCGTTTCATGGAACTCACATGATTGGTTCTTTCTTTTACTACTTCCTATTCGCCTTTATTATTTAGTGCCTCCTATGTTGCCTGTTGGCTCCGACCTGTTATAGTAATCTTGCTTCAACTACTGTTGTATCTTATTTAAATGAAGTTGAATTCTCATGTATACATCTCGGTGCTGGCTGGTCTCTCCGCGGTCATGGTGCGCGAACAGTCTGCGGCGACACAACACTTGGATACTAAACTATGGGATACTGAAAGCATCTTGCGTCTGAGGGCATAAAATGCTTTCTGAGACCACTTATCGCCCGCATGTCTGAAGGTTTGCTAAACGCTTTAGTGTCTAGCCCACACTACATGGCGGTTAATTCAGTGTGCTTCCAACTGATGATACATCAGCTTTTCACTTGCTAAATGTCAGAACCTGGACGTGAAGATGCGCATGTGTCTCTGAATGAGCCGGCTCAGTTTACCTTTACTCAAACAGGCTTTGGGAGGACCCTCACTAGTTTCGTCGGCAATACACACGCTGGATGTGACTTGTCAGCTGCTAGACGGTTAGGGTTAACTGGTGATTTGATCTTCCCGTCTCTTCCTCCCTATCACTCCGTTACCGCCAACAGGAGCTGACCATGTCACCGGATACGGAGCACATGACCGCCGTTGTCTATAGATTCGTTCAGAAATTCCTACTTGCACCCATTCGTATTTCTATTATTTTGCCCCAGTTTTGCTGTCTGACCTCCACCTTTACTGTTCTCCGCTTACGAGTTCCTCTGTATGCTTTCCGCTGGTTTATTATTCCTATTGTGTGGTTTTCATATTCACTCCTACCCCTGCAGAAGGCACTTTTGGATCCTGATGCGCTGCAACGGACTCAGAAGATAGCATCGGAGTTTCTTTCGGGTCCTGGCCCCACCTTGCAGCGAGAACTGAAGGCCTACGCACGAGCCAATCCTCACACCAGCTATATTTCTGGGCTGTGGTTTGATATGTACTTGAAAGACCGTCGACCTGTAGTTCTGACCCACAATCCTGCTATTGGACTTGAAGACACAAAATTGGGGACTGGATATCAGCAAGTAAGCAGTCTTTCTTCTAACTGTTTGTGCTCTCAACCCTATCCATGCCCGTAGCTCAGACAGACCAGCAGGTTTCGAAGTGTTTAACCAGTCCACTTATCGACTCGGTTCGCTTAAACTGCTGTGCTGTGCACATCAAAATTCACTGGGTCAATTACTGTGGTTCGCATCACAAAGAGATTTAGACTAAAATAAATTGGAGTAATCTGAATGGGATATCAGATGATAGACGCAAGAAAGCGAATTCAGAGAAACCACTGAGTTCGCAACTGATCCATGTCAGACAAAATCTCCAGCCATCGATGTGACCTATTCCAAGACCTCTATTCACGATGGTAGGTATCAGTTCGAGCAAACCCTCACTCTACTTTTATCATATCTTTCTACCCCTTCGTTAACCGGTCACTGTCACAGTATGTAATGCACTCCAAGGCAAGTGATCAGAGGGCATGCGGAGAACATGCCGTAGTGCTTCACGTTTATTAAACACCCCGTTGCAACACCATGGGATTTCTTTCCTAGCACCAATTGGCTGGCTTCGGTATAACCTTAGATCTCCATCATATTTCATCAAAATGAATGCTTTCTTGGTGTGCTCTGTGATACTTGGTCTTTTTTGGTCCCTGTAGTGACCTAGACCCTATCGCCGCGCTGTACACACTGATTGACAGGTTAATATTCCACAATCTCGATAACTGATTCAACTTCGGAAAATCCACCTGGTATTGCTGGTGCGTAATGTGACAACAACCAGAGGTGACATGGTTACCAAGGTAAACGAACCTATCATCTACCTCCACTAGATGTTCGGTTGCTCCTAAAACAACAGTCTACCTCCATTGGTAGTTGTATCACTTTGGTTAGTCATGTTCCCTGAAAGGATAGTGACTTCTTCAGACCGAAACGCGCAAAGTGTATACGAATGCCATCTAGTTGATTGCCACACAACTAGCGTTGCCCCATTGATCAAGGTAATTGCCATTGCACGTTGTGAGTGAATAAGAGGCAGCTTACCTCTAATCCACGATTTACGCTTACAATTTCTCGTGTCCAGTGGTGAGTATTCCGGTGCCCACTATCAGGTGTTTTGTAAATTACCCTTATAGGCACACTCAGCAGTCCTCTGAACCTGTGGCCACTTGATTCCTAGTTTTGCATCTACATACTTGGTTGACCAAAGGCACATGGTGGCCAGTGGATTTTCTGGCCACAGCTACCACGCAGTCGTTTACTGAACTGAGCCGAGCTATGTGTGCTATTCACTGAGATTAGTCTAAACCTAGTAAGGTGACCCTCGTCACTGGTTGCGAGCATTTCTCTGGTATCCTCGGTAGCTGACTTTTTAGGCTTTAGGCTTTTATTCCGATCACATGTACTTGCAGCATTCAACTTTGTGCTAGGCCGGTTGTGAACTTCGGTGTTGGAAACAAGCGGCATCTGCTCCAACTGGCCGAAACCTCTTCCACACTAAGTCGCGACTCATTATTGCTTCACTTGTTTCCGTCCAAACACAGTGAGTACCCCAGAGAAAGCGATCCTGAGCTTCTGTGCTTTGTGGCTTGTGTTGTCCCTGGAGCTCAGTCGTCTTTTGCTGGTGTTAATTGGCAACTAGCATGCATCGGGTTCATGTTCTTGCTCCGGTTATTTGTGCCGTATAAGTCCATACAGGGACGAAACCGATCTTTTAGGACATCGCTTGGAATTAGTTGTTCCTGGAACTTGACTGCTCCAGATTGTTCATTGTAACTCGTGCCTTGGGTTGAATTCACTCACTACCATCTAATCAGAAGGAATTGTAGTGCTTTTATATATTCTTTTATTCGTTCGGTTGGAATTGTCAGTTTGTTATTCCACGCACTTACGAGCATAATCTGGTTAAGAGATTCCGTTCCATCAGTACTGTTACACAGACCACAGCTAGTGAGCCCTTTTAGGAACCATGTTCACTAATGCCCCTAAGAAGTTTGCTTCTTCCGCATCGATTTTTTGGCATACATATCCAGCCATCCTCATACTCACGAGCAGTCAACTGCTCTGACTTTTCTTCCATGCCTTTTTGCTAATTCCACCCATTAAAGAGCGGATCTTATATGCTTTGAAATTCACGTACATTAGTTTATCACGATGGGCACTTGATATGGGATTATTAACATATTGGAGAAGAGACATCAATGCGGCTTTTAAGCGGTTCTCCGAGCTGAGTGATTATTTTGCAAACGTTTCGTTGCGTGACTAGGCAACATCATCAGTGCGGCTTCAGGGGCCTGGTTCGCAGTGCCTCGTAAGCGACTCCAGTGTCCAAGTGCTTATTGATCGAGTTCTGCTTCGAATGCCAGGCTTCTATGAACTTACGTGCTTGCCGGCTTTTAGCCCTTCCGAGACATCAATGCATACAACCTACCATGATGATTCTGTCTGATTTGTGAGTGACCCATGAGGCTACCTATTAGCTAACTATCCGCACTACAACTTGCGTGCGCCACGATTATCCTATTTTTCCTTTCCTCTTGAACTTCGTGACTGAAACCACAACTGACTCTGTCCTCTCAATCTCTTCCGGAGGGAAGTTCTGCCACATGATCGACTGACAAACCATGAGCATGCTGACCATGGGACTATTCTTGTGTTGGATTTAGCGGCTGTCCAAGTGCCACTGAATAGACTGACGTGTAGCGCTGCACGCTTCAGTCTGTGCTTCGCGCCTTGGAAATGCAAGCCACTATCGCAAAACTCGGTCGTCACGACACCAGTTCTAAACATAACCAGACATCTGCGGAAACTGGTTGCATGGTTCACCTAAGTTGTAACCTCACTTAGGAGATTATTGCATGAATCGCAAAAACCTCTCAGAAGGCTGGATCTATGCCTTTCACTTTGAGGTAGGGTGTGCCACGCTGCGATTTGGCTGGTGTTAGTGTTTAAATCCGAAACCTGACACTTTCACGCTCAAGGCCTCCAACGTTTTGTCCATTTTCTCATCAGTGCTTGTGAACTATTACTCAACTAGTGTGAGCCATACTAATGTCCACCTGTTGGTGTTTGGCATGGAAACCTCTGATGCCGCACCGGAACGTTTGGGTACCACGAACTCCTCACGTTAACTCGATCATGGCTCTGCTATTCCCGTATGTCTGTTAACCGCCATTCACAATTTGCCTTAAAGGCTGTTTCAGCACCGAGTTAGGCGAAACAGCTAATTGGCCAATTGATAAGGCACTAACAGTACGCCGGTATGCAGTACCGATGCTTCGCTGCCGTGCAACCATCACCAGTCGCGTGTGGGCCAAGGATGTGGCGAAGGTTGCTCGGTCCACAGACTCGAACCCGCGACCTTAGAACTACAAGGCAGGCTTGTGATCCTTAAGGCCACGGGGCGGTTGGCCAGTTAATGACATGAACTAAGAACCTCAAGAGATTTGTCAAGGAACTTGGTCACGATGGTGCGACTGTCTTAACGGATGGGGGTCTAGGTGTTGGCAGCTTCTGAGCTCAGGAACCTTGTCAGATATTTCGTAGTCTCGGGCTTACGTGTTTTCCCAACCCATTTTTCTTTGTATTCCGTTTGTGTTCTGCCTGCTTTCCACCATTGTTGTTTATTTTGTTGCGTCGCTTGCGAGACTGCCGCCTATGATCCTTTCTACCTGTGCCAAATCCGTGGCAAAATCAATAGCTAAGATTCCTTAGACGGTGTATATTCTGTGAAAGGGAACAGTTCTATTTATAGGTCAACGCAACGTCTACTTATCGAACCCTGAACCCCGCGTCACCGGCGTCTTGATCTCAGCCAATGTGAGCATATACCCTTTTGCCTTGGTTGCCATATTTGACCTTCTGTTTGCGCCAGGCTACAGCCATTGCTCATTCATTCGACCCTTACCCGGGTTCGCCAGCCACTCACTTTGCACCGGTGTTCCATAATTGTTCGGCTGATTGTAATTCAGAGTACACCCTCGTTCACACAATCGATGCTAATCGCATGTTCGTCGTGACGCCCGTTCAAACTCTTGGCACAGCCTAGTGCAGTGCTTGAGTATTCGTTCCTCTTAGCCGCCTAATATTGGTATCCTGGCTACGAAAATCATGACAAGCAGATCCACCGTACTTCAGTGCCTGCGCGTTATAACTGTTAAGCGGAATTTAACTGGTCCGTCCTAGTGGTGGTTGGATACTTCATCCGACATGACGCGGTCGCAAAATCACTGGCGTTCTCGCACTCAACATCTTACAGCTAGGCGTTAGCATTTTTCGTCCTTTTTCCGCAGCTTGAGCTGTACGCACGGTCGCCGCAACTTTTTGAATCACCGTGTGCTGGATACTACTTTTGCTTCGGATTGCTGTGTTGAATTTTTTCTACCCGAATTGTGCATCAATATTCTTTTGGCGTATTTTCCAATCGGTACAAATTTGTTGGATATTTTCTGGCTATTTCCGGAGATCTCGTTGATTGGCCCTACTGCCACGTTTGTCCGTTATCCTGGATTTCCTCTATCTTCTGACGCCGTCTCAAGCTACTTGTGGTCCGTGTTCGAAAGTTTTGGGATATAAGGCTCATGCACTTCGGTGCTTCGGCTGCGATGTTTTGTTCCATATTTTGTGCATTGGCTTATCCGTTGACGTGTTTCGAAAATCTCGACATCCGAAATCAGTTTTTCCAAGTTATATGTGATAAATGTTGCGGTGCAAGACATCAGAATACACAGCCACCGTCAACAACTACAGGAAAACCTCACTTTCAAGCAGAAACAAACCGTTCATCATGTGGGGTCAAATTCCCTCGTGAAACTACCTCTCTCACCTCACCTTCCCTTGTCACTCCGCGATCTGCACCACCATCAGCGTCTTCGACCCCAGCCGAGGTTCAATGTTTCCCAGCGATAGAAGACCCAGACGCAGAACCTACGAAATGCCGCTTCACTGATCGGTCCGTGAATTTCCCAGAGCCTGTCTGTTAACTTCTGAACACCTAGGATCCATGGGCCAATCGAAAGCACAAGGGGCCACGTAATGGAGTTCAGGCGTCTCCTGCTGATAAAAAACAACCCAAACAGATAAGCGCTTCTAGTCCTGCTCCCACAGGTTCATTACCGATTTTGCTGAGGCGTCTTTCACATACCAGAGTCAAAAGATGAAAACCCTCAGCTACATTATGATCACGATGATGAGTTGCTCCGGAGGCTCATCGATAGACTCTTGGATGTGGGCGAAGAGAGTGTGACGAGTAAACAAGTAGTCCGACTTAGCCAGAAAACTAATCAGACATGTCGACCTCGGAGAATCACCTTTGCAAATCACAATAGGCCGTAGCTCATACTGTCTCGTTTCTCAAGGCTGAAAAGCATAAAAATTCAAATCCGCCGAGAATTGGGACCCGAAGACAGGGGTCATTGAGCTTAAACGCCGTACAGAAGAAGGTGAGATTGACTTAGAAATTGTAAATTTTCGGGTGATCAAGAAGGGTGTTCGAACCCGTATCAACTGGTTGCTCAACATCCAGGCACGTCCCGCGCTACATCACAGGGCCTCCGTTTGGCATTCGCCAACCTGTGCAGCCTAATGAATAAACATGACGAACTGTGCCGCTTGGTTGTCTCGGAGCGGCCGGACGTTTTAGAACTTGCAGAGACTTGGCTGAACTCCGACGTCATACCCCAAGAAGTCGCGTTGTCAGGATACTCTTTTTTTCCAACGCGACCGAAAACCAATGGCTCACGGTGGTGTTCTGTTGTACATAAAATCGTCACTATCTAGCAAACTTACCAGCATCTATCGGAGTGAGGATAAGTTATGCGACCAATTGTGGTGCATAACCCGCCACAGATGAGCAAAACTAACAGTGGGTGTTATCTACCGTAACCCATGAATCCGTTATTGCGATTGGCTACCACATATACAGAAGCACATGAACCGCCCTCAGTTCTTACTGGTGGGGGATCTAAATTTATCTAAGATATTCCGGACAGACGTTCGGCTTCTTCCGGGTCATGGCGATGTTGAGGCTCAGTTCGCTAAAATGACTATTGAAATCGGGGCAACGCAACATATCCAACTGACGCGCATAACTCCGCACTCGGCATCTTGTCTGGACCTAATGTTTACGAGCTGTGATGGCAAGCTGAACGAGATCAGTCCTTGAACGTGTGGCGAACAGTGACCTCTGCACCATTGTGACAGGCATAGAACTGTCGTTCCCGTATTACAACCAACTGAAGCCGACATTAAAGTATTGGAAGACGGACTTCAACGGGTTCGTCTAAGCCGCAAGTTTGACTGATTGGACACTACCACAGGATGCGTCGCTTGAGGCCTGTTGGTCATTAATGAAGGGGGAACTTAATTCACTGTGTACTCGGTTCGTTTCCCTGAAGTATTCAAAAGTCGGACCTGTCAAACTGTCTTGGTTTGCCACGGAAAATAGACAGTTAGCGCGATGACGTCGCGAAGTTTGGGATAGAGACATCAGCTCGGGTTGTGATGAAGGTTACACGGTGTACAGGAAACAGCTTGACTTAAGTAACGCCGCAAAGATCAAGAAACGCTGGCAGTTCGAAGCGAAGCTAGCATTCTCGGTCACAACTGCGCCTAAAAGAATATTTGCTTACTTGAAATGTCAACTTAAACCTGGGGGCGATCTACCGGTCTTAGAGAGCTTAAACGGACTGACGCTGATTTCAAACGCAAGGCGTGTGGACATCTTGGCTACACCCTTCCTCACCGTATTTTCCAGTAAAGCGGCGGCTGTTCCAGTACCGGCACAGGTTGCGCCAGTCCTGCTCGACAACTTACAATGGGATGCAGTCGAAGTGTATCAGTTACTCGCCAACCTCGATGATGTAACCCCCCCCCCGGACTAGACGGACTTCATCCACTAATACTCAAGTCTCTATCGAATATCATCTCATCAGCCGTCACAAACCTATTCAATAAATCACTCTCTGAAGGATCTGTCCCTAACGACTGGAAATCCTCGATATTGAGACCGCTTCCCAAGGGTGGTGATCCGTGTCAACTAGAAAACTATAGACCGATCTGTTTGACTTCCATATTATCCAAAGTTCTCGAAAAGATTGTGAAAAAGTGTCTACTATCATTATTCGAATCGAAGGACGTGTTTACACCAGCACAACACAGCTTTACGAAAGGGCAATCCAGCATCACTAACTTGGTGTACACGAACCACCAGTGGGTACGAGCTCTCCACGAACAGAAGGATGTTGACGTGATCTACATCGACTTTAGTAAGACTTTTGACAGAGTGAACCACAAAGTACTCCTTCATAACCTGAGGACCTACGTAATCGGTGGCACGCTACTTCAGTGGCTACACGAGTTTATTATGGAATGAAAGTTTAGAGTACAGGTCAATGACTACCTGACAAACTGGTTCACATCGACCACTGACGTGCCTCAAGGAACTGTACTTGAGCCAGTATTATTTCTTATTCATATTAACGATCTTCCGCAGCAGCTCTAGTCACCATGTGCCCTTTTTGCAGATGATTTGCAAATCTGGAGGATCATTGAGAACCTGGACGACTGAGTTCGCCTCCAGCATGAGTTAGATCGACTGTCAATGTGGTCCACTGAAATGCAACTTCTACTTAACGCAAGCAAGTCAGAGTTCATCAGTATCACCAGACATCCAGCCACTTGATCACACACCTTGGACGGTCAGTTGCTCCACCCTAACACATCTGTCAGAGACTCAGGAGTGCTCTCGCGACATCATATGAGATCACTAGAAAATACAGAGAACTTGTACCGTGCGGGACCTCGTATGCTCTGGGCATTACAATGCAGTTTCTCCACATGGTCCGAAAAAATCGTCCCTCATCTATTCACCTCACTCATTAGACCAATCCTTGAATGCGGTGCCCCAGCTTACCATCCGACAACCCATTGAAAAACTAAAAAGCTGGAGAAAATACAACATCGCAATTAGATTGATACCCAGTCTACGGAAGCTTCCGTATGAACAAGGTTGTGAAAGGCTCGGACTCTACACACTGTCCTACCGCTGAATAAGAATTGACCTTATTATGACCCATCGAGTACTACACTTGAATCACATCCCCATACTGCGGCTAATATTTCACCTGCGGGAACCCTCTAACGCCTGAGGACCCCGTTACAAACTTAGTGTCCCCTGCATAAACAAGGCATCACATCAATTTTGCATAGAACGAAAACTCGACTTTTGGCATACACTGCCAGAAGGATTAATAGTGGCCGATTCTGTGAAATGTATTAAAACACGTATGGACGATTATTCCGGAAACCTGTGCTTTTGTGAAACGGTGCGCACGCAATGCCGAAAGAAGACGTCGTATACCCGGAAAAATGACACCAATCCGAATTCCTAACCGAACAAGGATAAACGATTAACTGATCAAACACTACCACTGACGATTCGCAATTTAATGTTTGATTTTTTCATGATTCCATGGTGTTGTACAGAAACCTTACTACTTGCTATTAAATACAGTCTCAGTTTTATCCACATTTTCCTATGCTACTGCGTTTTATCCGATTTTTTCCTTCCGACTATTATTGTACTCATAAATGCTAGCAACCGAGATCATGATTGTTAGATTTAATTGGTCCCCTGTTGAAAATAGGGCATTCCTCCAACCTTGTTGTCACTTGAATTTCTACTCTCCAACACATTTCAGTTTTTCTTCGTTGAAATTCTCTCACGAGCCTTTTTACTACCTGTCTCTATCATTACCGTTTTCTGTTGGAGGATTCCTTTCGCCTTCATTCACCTTTCATTCTCATCGCCTTCTCTTTCTTTACTTCACAGCCTGCAATACGCGCTACCAATTTACTTTACCATGTGATTTCTTTCTGTCAACTGCTGCGTGCCAACAAATTAGAACCGGATATCTTTCACTTGAACCCACAGAAGTCCAAAACTCCTCTTTTCTACCGAACAGTGCGTCTTGTGCCCACATCATTGGCCACTTACGCTGCCTATTTGTTCAAAGTAAGTGCGTAGTATATGTATTCTCCCATTAACTGGCTGACTGACAAGCATTGATTGACATCTGTGTACGGGCATATCTCGTTTTTATTCCGCGATGCCTCACTTTATTACGTACAACATTTCTGGCGCTGTATTACACTTTAAAACGAGACTATTAGCACATTGAAAGGCGGAGCCTCTAAATTCCGTCGTTGTTGTTCTCTTTGAAACAGTGTTTTGCGCTGCGGACTTTACGTCTAATTTGCATCTTTGGTACATTTTGTTTCTCTGAGTCTTTACTCAAACTCAAAAATGCTGTGCTACTCCGTCACTATCTTACAAACTTTGCGTGATAATGCACGATCTCCGCGCTTCATAGAATTTGGTCACATTCAGAATCATATTTACACGAATTGTGAAGAAAAATTTTGGAAACTAGCTGAAGCATTTTGCTGATTAGCAATTTGGCCTCAGTCATTGTTCTATTGACGTAGCACAAGCGACGCTAATATGTTCCACTAATATGCGCTCGCCTGAAACACATTGTTTACCTCAGTGCTCTTATGCAACGAAGAGCGTATGTAACCACAGGTCTCATTCTGTTATAAGAAAGTTGATTTCGTATTGATTTGGAAGCTGATATTATTTTACTCCATGACTATTTTCACATCAGATCTCATAGTCCTGGAGAGCTGCAGCCCCGTTAAGCAACGTTTGTTCAACTCAGCAACCGTTTTGGTGACGCGAAGACAGGAATCACAGACAACACGGAAAAGCCACAGGGACTGAGGAAGAAAGAAAATAACGCTGGCACCGGGGTAATAAGCAGCTCGCGGATTCTGAAAAAGGCCGGGAGTGTTTCGCGAGCGACAAACAATATCGGACCCACGCCGAGAAGAACGGGGATGGTGGTGATGAAGAGCCCGATTTTCCAGAGAGGCGCCTTTGCTCACGACTCCAGAGATAACCCCAAGGCGAGCAACGTAAACACGCGTGAACAATTCAAGAGAATTTGTACGGATCCAGTCCGGTCAGAATATGAGGGACGGTAGCGAAGATACGAGGGCAACTTGCCTAGAATGACTCAGTAGGTTAAAACCAATCGGGACATGGATGTGATGACGAGAGAAAGGCTAACTTGTGTTACGTTTTAGGGTGATACTATCCCCTATACGCGAGCCCACGTGCTAGCCTACTAGCTCGTTGTTCGTTGTCTAAAAAGATTGCGCGTCCCTGACGCCTCATTCTCGCTCTATTAATGCCGTGTCCAATCTGAATGAAGTTAGGCTGGCCAATTCAGTTTGCACACCGAGACGCGGAAGATTAGCTGGATGAGTTTGAGGCAGTGGCGGCATGCAACGGAGTCAAAGGGAACGCGAACGTGGGCACGCTGGTAACAGGGAGAGCGAAAGCGACCTACCTACTCATGTGGTTGTGAAGCTTGCCCCATCAGGTCGACCGACATCATCATCATTATAAACGTCAGCTAGAGATGGGAAACACCTTAGCTACTGTGCCGCACTACATAAAGGAAAAGGAAAATAAATACAACAGTTGCATGCCAGCTGAGCTACCAGCAACGGATAGGCATCGTTCCGGTAAGCTACCAGCCGACTACTAGGCCAGAAGAAAATTTTTATGTTTTACGCTACGAAATGAGATCGTAGGTGGAGGGGGAGGCTAAAAGGGATGGGGAGGGACAAAGAAACTCACAGCAGGAACGCCACTGAAGTCGGCTCCTTGCCATGTCAGCAAGTGTATGCAGCCAAAGGTGTTCATCATTTTTGGACCCCAACCAGGGAGCCGTGACGCCCCAACCGAGGCGAGTTCAGAAGTGAGGGTATTCATTCCTCTGGACCAAGTCATTGCTTGGCCACCCCTCATCTTCTTCCATCCACATCTCCGGTGAGCAAAAAATGCACGTCGCGGTAGTCTGTGGGCTGGCATGCTCAACACATGGCCCAGCCATTGGAGCCTGGTTCGTGAAATGACGTTGCTGAGCGGTTAAGTTCCTTTTTCTGTACCGTAAACAAGGCGTCGAACATGCTCGTTACTCACGCGGTGTTCCCACCAGATGTGAGCCAAACTGTCGACCGACATAAAGAGGTCGTCACGTTCGATCATCGCCGCCTTCGCAGTTTAGCTCATGTCTGGTGGGAGCACCACGTGTGCAATGAGCGTGTTCGGCTCCGCGTATTTGGTGCAGGAAGTGCGAGTGAACCGATCAACACCTTTATTTCACGCACCAGACTCTGATGGCTTGGTCACGTGCTGCGCATGCCCGAACACCGACTCCCGCGACGTGCATTGTTTGCGCGCCGGGGAGGTAGTTAGAAGAGGAGGTGAGGAGGTCAAACGATGATTTGGTCGAGAGAAATGAAAGCTCTCACTTCGAAGCTGGCGTCGGTAGGTGCATCCCGACTGCCTGGCTGGCGTCCGAAGGATGATGAACATGTTTGGTTGGACACTTGCTGATATGGCGAAGAGCCGGCGCTTGTGGTGTGAGTTTATTCGTCCACCTCTCTGCCCCTTAGACTCCCCCTCCAATTCCGATCTCATGCAAAACGCATAACATGATATTTAACATCATATTACTTGCTTGAAATTTTTAGTGTACCTTTTTACTCTCTTTTTGTATTGTGGCACATTAGCTGAAATGTGTTTCTCATTCCTAGCTAACGTGTATTGATGATGATGTTTGTTCAGCGAAATGAAGTCATCGTTGCATGTGGAGCTGGCCGCTGTTTACACAAAGGGCAGTTGCTTTCCATGTTAAATTCAGCTCTTATTAACAGTTTGGACTAGTCTTTTAAATTTGTATTATTTCATCTACAGTTAAACCAGTTTTGACGAAACTACTCCGACGAGAATATCACAAGGCTCCAATCATTGTTTTCCATAACTGTTCTTTCATTATCGCCAACAGCAGCACATCAACTATTTGAACTGATGCTTCACTGCCACACAACCATGGTGATCTACGGAGCGAAAAATAATTAGAGGGAGTGAAGGCACTCCTAGTGTTAAACCCTAATTCCCAAGCAAACACCCAGAGTCAAAACACCTACACCTTTTCAACAACATACCTTCACAAATAGGTGGCTATCGTGCAATGATTGGGGGCATCGGCGAGACAACTTCGTTTCGGCTTTTACTGCCACGCATCACAGTCAACCATTACTCGCAAGTCACGAACCGTATAGCGGAAACTCGAGCTACCTTTGCCAATCTCCGTCATTTTTGGCGTCGATGCGACTTCACTCTCATTGAAAGTCAGAGTTTACGACTCAGGTGTGCGTTCAACCCTCCTGCATGGTTGCGAAATCTGTCCCATCAGGGCGACATATATAAAGAGGCTAGCTACGTACGACCATCACTGCCTTCGCAGCTTAGCTCACAGCTGGCGGGAACATCGTGTAAGCAATGAGCGTGTTCGGCGTCGTGTATTTGCCGCGGGTAGAACGAGCGAACCCGCTCCTCATCATTATCTCACGCACCAGGCGCATTCCAGCAGACCGATTCCCGCGACATACATTATTTGCGCGACCGGGTTGTGAATGGAATATAATGAGAGATGGATGGATGACTTGGTCAGGAAGAATGAAAACCCTCACTTCGAGGTTGGTAACTCTTGACTGCCAGGCTGGATTCCGAAGAAGGAAGAGCACGTTTGGTTGGACACATTAGTTGACATGGCGAGGAGCCGGCCTCAAAGGATAATATGATATTTAGCATTATGTTACTTGTCTCTTTTTCTCTTTTCGTCCGTATTGTTTATAACGGTACCTTTTCTTATGCGTTTACTCGCCCTTAGCTAACGTGTGTTGTTGATGGCGATGGTAATATCTCCCTTGGAGTGCTTTAGGAAGACTACATCCTATGTGTACGATCGACAATGAAGAACGATAGTCAATGGCGGGGTATTGGAAAATGAAGTCACTGATCGCTGGACCGGGTACTGTCTGTCCATGTCAGTGTTCACAAAACCCATGCCGTCCGTAGCTCGCCTCCTTATGGAGCATAAATCGCGGTTATCACCAGTGGTGCGCTTGGTGCCGTCTCTGTTATAACAAATCGTATTTATTTTGACTCCTCATCGAAATAAACAAAATGCTTTTCACCGATTATGCCCCATGCGCAAACTGCTGGTTTGAATTTCTGATCTGTATGGCCTAGAGCAACTAGCCGGCAGATGTGTACACGCGAGCTGAGACTGGAGACGAAACAAGTAACCTCACATGACTGCACAGAGACGCGGAGAAGATAGTTTGGCCAATGGCAAGAGTTCCTTAACTGACTCCGCCAATGGTGAACATGCCTTCCACACCTTCATATCTGTCACCCAATAGGATGACAGCCTAATAGGCGGTAGTAAGTAGTAGTAGTAATAGTTGTTGTTGTTGTTGTTGTTGTTGTAGCCGCTGCCGTTGGTAACTCTCTTAAGTTACTACGTTTGATTCGGGAAACGGGCAGCAGGAGACCTGGTGTTATCGAGACCATGCGCGACGAGAGAGGACAGCCGATTCACAGCTTGTCAAAGCGCTTGGAGCGTAAGTTCAAATATTGAGAAGCAATTCAGTCAGTGAGAGTTGCCAGCTTCTCCAGCGGCCATTGATCACCCTACTCCCTGGGCTGTCCATGTGGATACACCCTCATGAGCAGAAATCTAACGTGAGATCAGACTGTTGAAATTGAATAAGGCATCAGGGGCATTTAAACTTCGACAGACCTGCCGAAAATGTGGGAGCAGAAAACCGTCCCAACCGACTGGAACCGCTCCGTAATAGTCCTTATTCTCAGGGCAGGGTCCCGTTCAGAACTCGGCAATAATAGATGAATCAGTCTGGTCTCCATCGCCTCCAGGTTACTTGCCTTTGTCGTCCTTCGTACACTGACTAGCCTCCGTTAGTGCCAGAATTGCGAGGAGCACGTCACGTTTCGTCAAAATCGAGACTGCATTGACCCCATCTTCGTATGACGTCAGTTGTTAGAGCACTGCCATGTTTATTTGCGACCCACTGTAGTTGTGTTCCTCGCTGCCAATCTTGGAGCAGAACTTTGCATTCCGAGGAGGCAAACAGCCCAAATCATTTGACAGCCAGTGCTGATCTGTCCAGTACTGCCTTGCACCTTTGGCCCTATCACAGATGAGGTCAGTGTCGTCAACATACTTCCGGTCAAGAAGTCACTCATCAGAAAGCAGCTTCACACCTCATAGGCCTTATCCAGCGAACGCTCTTTCCATGACTTCTTCAATGACGAAGTTAAAGAGGAAAGGTGACAGCAGGCAAGCTTGTCTCACATCGTTAGAGATATTGATGGGCGGCGACAGTTTACCATAGACCCTCACTCTGCTCGAACTATGCTCGTGAAGCGCTCTGATAATGTGTATTTCTCGGGCACCACCTTCATGTGCAGACAGTCCCAAAGGCAAATCGATCAGCGGGATCAAAGGCAACTTTTATGTCCAGGAACACGACTACGGTAGGTCGCAACTAAACATGGCAGTGCTCTAACAACGGATGTAATGCCACTGAAGAAGTCACTCACCGTTATCATTATGGAAGCGTACACCATGTCGGCCGCTTAGATGAAGCTCATCAACGGACATCTTTCCGATTTGGGCCTTGAGATCACCAACAAGCACCATTCTATCTGTACTTTTTTGTAATAAGGAGATCGTTAAATTGGTGAGTGATTCAGTGATACAGTTCGTGGGCGCGTAGGCCGCAGTGACAAGCAGGCACCGTTTTCCCCGCGCTACTTCGAAGTCTGGAACGAGCTAGCCAATCTAACTGCGCACATCCAGCTGTTGACTGGGCTTCATCAGGGTAGCTTCAGTCTGGAGACCCAAAACAATGTTTACATCTGCTTGACCAACATTTAAAGCTTCGTTATCTACGGACGGGCGCAAGGAGAATGTGTCGCAAGTGTCACATGTGGGGGATCGCAGGGTAAACACGGAGCTCGACTCTTGCAGGCAAGGTCCTTCCCTATGATTGGCAAGGACCCGCTCCTGCGCTGACTCTTCGTCGTGTCCAGCTACAAGTTGTCCAGAAATTCAAGTATTTGGGCAGCACTGTTAGTGCCTGTGGGATTAAAGACGAGATCACGATCCGTATAGCGGAAGCTCGAGTCGCTTTTGCCAATCTCGGCCACTGGTGTGGTACCACTCTTTCTCTAAAGCGCATAGTTTACAATGCATCCGCCTGTCCAACCCTCCTGTACGGTTTCGAAACCTGGCACATCAAGTCCACGGAGTTAAAGTGGCTAGTCACGTTCGATCATGGTTGTCTTCGTGGCATAGCATACCTGAGATGAACACTGCGTGAGCAATGAGCGTGTTCAGCTCCGCATATTTGGTGCGGAAAGAGCGATTGATTCGCTCAGCACCATTATATCAAGTAGCTGGCTGCGATAGCTGGGCCACGTGTTGCGCGTACCAGCACACCGACTGCCGCGTCGTGTCTTGCTTGCGCGCCTGGGATCTGAATGGTAAATGTGGCGGGGATGCCAGGCAATAACTTGGTTAAGTGGAGTGAAATCCCTCACTTCGGATTTGGTGTCAGTTGGTGTTCTCCAACTGCCTGGCTTGGGTCCGATGGATGATGAACCTGTCTGGTTGGACACACTTGTTAACATGGCGAAAAGCCGACCTCCGTGGGGTTTGTGTTGTGAGTCACTTTGTCCCACCTCTCCCCTTTAGCTTCCCCCTCCAACATCGATCTGAAACTGTATGCGTAATGTGATATTTAGCATATTGTTACTTTGCTATAGTTTTTTGTCTGTATTGTTTAATCTCTTGTATTTTTTACTTCGTCACATTAGCTGTGGTGTGTTTCTCGCCTCATGATGATGATATTTCACCTTAACTATCGCCTTTAATCGGTACACAGCTAAGGTTATACGTACCATGCGCGATTTGTTTTAGTGAGCTTTGTGTATTTGTTTCATCTTGCTCCTTCCTTATGTATTTTCCATTTACTTTGTCATCTGTCGCGTTCGCAGCCGTAGTGTAAATGCTTGAGATGAACCGATTAGACAGCACAAACCTTATTTTAAATTGGCTTTAATGGTTACCATTACGTGCAATTGCATTCTGCAGCCACCTGGACTTCACCTGGCCAGTTACCACTATTGTTGTGGCCTTGTGATCTACAAGGCACTACTGCGCTCACCATCCTGTTCGTTTGCGTTACTGCATCGAATAGGATCACGTTATGTATGCCACTGCAGTTTCTTTGCATTACACTAGATTCTATTTCGTCTTACCGACCTCTCCTCTCTGTGTACCTGCTTGTTTTCCTTCCGTTTCATCTGACGTTCACATAGGCCTATCCACTGGACACATCGCAGTACGCTAACATGTTCAACGCGACTCGCATTCCCGAACTTTGCAAGGATAAGCTGTTCAGCAAGCCTTCCGCTCGCCATGTGCTGGTCATTCGGCAGGGGGAGATGTACGTGTTTGACGTGCTGGACCCGAGTGTGAGTGTGACCAACTCGGGTTTTGTTTGTTTCTAACCATCCACGATTGTATCCAAATTTCTGACTGTCTGTTGGCAGCTTGGTAACCGTCGTATATGTTGGTTAGGACGTGTCACTCTAGATAACTGCCAAGTGTTGTCCACTCGTAACACTGCATTTCACAACTCAGTTTCTCACCAGTTTGCGCTTTTCAGGTAGATATAGCGGAATTGTGACTCTATCCCGGATGTAGAGGTTACCCGTTGATGCCTCCGCTATTACATGACCGAGCCACATCATTTGCGCCTTTCCGTCTTATCACCCGACTCTGATGGCGCCGTGGTCATCTTAGACCTATTGTTACTGAGCACTGTGTAGTGTATCAGCATCTAACCTGCATATACTTCATGCCTTTCTGAAGCGGCTGCTCGTCGACTCTCAGTTACGCGGAATGTTAAGCTTCATCTCTAGCCTAGTATCGAGTTTGAACATACTCTCTAATAAATTTTCTGGAAAATCTCCAGCATTCCCACTTAGGATGTGTGTCGCCTGGAATTATGCCCTGACATTAATCCAACTTAGTCTGTGGCGATTTCGCGGCTGCGGTCACTTGGCGCTTGCGCACACACCAAGCGCAGATAACTTGGGCTTTCTGGCCGTCCACAAAAGCTCATTCTCAAATGCTTCCTTGGCTATAAATTCCAGAGCGTCGTATATTCTGCCCTAGCTTGTGGCCGCTGTTTCGCTCCAGCACCGCTGTATGACCATTGACGTTTAGAGACCGCATTCACGGTCATTCCGATGGCAGCACTAGGACTATGGATTGTAGTCTACTATAGTTCAGTACAGTTCAGTGGAACAACCATGATCCAGGCACTGAAATGCACTTGATCCAGTTGCCACGACTTATGTCGCCATAAAAATTGCAACATTGGCCATAAGTAAATGACATAACACCAAACAACGTTTGATAACAACAACGGTAAGAACATGAGCTTTAATGCGAATAAAACGTAAGGAAATTGGAGTCAGGACAGAAAAGCTTTAGAGCTAATAGGGATGGAATGAACATTGATAGTTAGATGCAAGAAACCCAATGCCGCAATGCCCTGATTGCGTGACAGTGCCATATTTGGTAGTCTCCACCACTGGTGTGGACCATACCGGAGTCACATCCACGAAGACGGAATGCACCAGGCTGATCAAGTCTCTCAGTCAATTTCTTCATGTCATTATGCCACTTCATGGACTAGCCACCTAGCGGCCTTGCCCATCTTGGTATAGCGACGGCTCTAATGCATACCGAAGAAGCCGGTCAACGGTCATACGCAGGACATGATCCAGCCAACCATGAGAGGTTGCTTTTAAGCAGTTTGCCAAAGCGCGCACGTGTTCATTCAGAGTAAGGTGTTCTGTTTTTAATGTGTTTTGCCCTATAAGTTAGGTCCATCTCAGTTAGACAATCATACGATCATAACACATCCGGGAAAGCACTGATCGACCGTTTCTTCCTTTGGCGACTCGTTGCTGTTGAGCGTCTTGTTTGCCGCGCTTAAGACCTCGTTCTTACGAGTCACTGATTGAGATCACTGTGTCCGGGAGGGTTGCAACGACTGACATGTGGTATAGCTTGGCTCGCTCTTCACTAGCTTTCACGTTGCCACATTACAAAGGAGGGGACAACTCTCCCCTCCAAAGTAACAACCTCCCATACTAGTTTAGTCTGCTTACTGATTTCAAAGGGAAGGTGGGGGGTTATGTTGGACTCGTGATTAGTTTAATTTAGCTGGGCGACACTCGAAATGATGAAAATGCTGTCCAGTGCTTTCTTGCATACATGATAGACATCAAACTCCATCTATCTGTGCCGAATTTGACTTGCTTTGTCTAACTCATTCTTCTGCTATCTTGTAAGCAATACTCTTCCCTGTTTGTTTATTACACATCTGTTGCATGTTTTTTCTTTTCTTATCTATTGAGGCACATTGTCTGAGGAGTTTTCTACCTCTAACCTAACATGTATAATGAATGTATGATGTTCATAATACAGTTTGTACCAGTCAAGTGGCAGGTCCCGTGCTCAATCGCTGGTCGTATGGGACTTCGACTTTAGAACAAGGATCATTTTCTATACGTTAACATCTCTCACCAATAATATTGAATTGATCCAGCATTTCACCTCATTTGCTTCCTTCATCCTTATTCACGTCCTTTGTTTCTGCACGTCTGTCAATTCACAGGGTAATCCGATTCCGCCTCTTCAACTGCTCACCAATATCCGATTTATCCTATTACAACCGGCAAGTCCAAACCCCCCAAACATGGGTGTGATCACCACGTTACCCCGGGATGATGCCTTTGCTGCACGTCAACGTCTGTTGGCCCTGAAAAATCACGACAACTTAGCATTTATCGATTCGGCGTTGATCGCATTAGTCTTTGACGATGAACCGCTGTCGGATCGTATGCGGGATGTTGTGAGTCGTACTTGCGTGCTAACAACTTCGCTTCTTACCTCTCTGCATATTTCCCACTGATACATACTGTTTCCGTGGCGCTCCAACTCACACTCCTTCGACATTCACATCGTTTCTGTGGAATTTGACAAACATAAATGCCGGGGGTACACAAGTGGTATCTGAGCGGAATGAAACCACTCTTTGAGCCTAGTGCTGTCACGAAGACCATGTATCTCGTTTTCCTCAACAATGAATAGTATGTCTCTCAGGCCAGTAATCGTTATGGCCGTTTTCGACATGTTGGCACCTTGTCGAAATCCGCCCTAAACGCAGCCAAACCAGGGATGCACTCCAGGTGATGTCAGACATGTGACAGCAGACGCATATTCACTTCTGCAGGCCAACTGCGAATTGGGTTATCTCGATCCCCTGAATTAGGCCTCAACCTCGTTTTTCTCGGTTACTAGCTACCTTTTCGGGTGTGGTACAGTTGCCAAGTCAATAATGTTCTTGCATTATTTTCCTTTCTCTAGCATTTAACTCCTCTCTTGACTGTTTTACTTGTCTGGTCCGTCTTTCTATTCGAGTTACTATTATCGCTCTATGAACCAAGATAACCAAATCCACCGCATCTCGGCGGTCGGATCACAGTTGACAGTCAATCTCGATTTTGTTATGCTAGGAACTGGAGTGCGAATATTTCTCCTCCACTTTGTCTCATCTTGCTCAGTGCACAGTCCGAGTTCTCTCATCTTGTTTCTTTCAGTTGCTCAATTTTCTCGCCGGACCCGCTGGTTCCAGATGGTTCGACAAGAGTGTCAGCTTGCTGATCGACCGCGCCGGTCGGGCCGCCATCAATTTCGAACACAGCTGGGGCGACGGAGTGGCAGTGGTTCGTCTTGGTGAGAATATCTACGAACGCTCTGAGGCCTATCCGGTGGTCGGTCCAGAGGACTTGGCTAGCAGGTTGGGCAGGTCTCTTTCTTCTGCTTGTATATATTAAAATCATGACGTAATTGATAATAATAATAATACTAATAATAATACTAATAATAATAACTGGCATGTTTCTCAACACTGCGAGACACAGTACAACTCAGTGGTCTTATCAAATTGGTACTGCGGGATCGCATCTAGTAGCTAACTGTTTTTCAGTGCGGTTTACAAACGAATTTGGAGTAAACTGCAGTTGAATATGTCAGATGGATTGAAAACTTTGGAACAATTACAAATGGCGAATTGTCAAATGTTCAAGTAAAGTACTACGGTTATCCGTGGAACCGTCTCCTGTGGACCTGCTTCCATGTAGGGTATTCCATCGAAATGTTTCACGTGCACTTCCATGCCCCACCTAGCCGTGTGCTGGTGGGGCGTACCAATATGTATGCCAACACCTCTTTAACACACCTTTATTGCTGTTTTTATGCATAAGTTATGGACTAACAAGCCAGCCATCACGTTCTATTGTTCTACTCATTTCAAGCATGGCACTCCTTAGACGCCAGTGAACCATTGTCAATACGCTTTTCGTGGGTATAATTATTAGCGGCGTCAGTCTAACATCTCAGATCAGTCTAGTCGCGGCCAACAATGAAATAAGGAAGAGTATAAATATGAGGAATTAAAGACACTATCAGTAATAACTAACTCGATTCACTTTAAGGTGAGACACGGTTTGTCACACATGGACCAATGATAGTGTTTAGGGATGTTTCACATTGGTTTCACTAGATTGTTACTTGCCGAGCATGCATATTTTCAAATCCAGCAATATTTCCCAGGATGTGTTCCGCAAAGAAAAGACAAATCACTACGTAAACGTTTTTAGGCTAAGTCACAATTCTTCAGGCGCTCAGTATATGGACAGAGTAACATGCCAAAGTGAAGAGGAGAATAACTATTAATTGAATTACAGATGAGGTATAGTTTAGGCAGTATCGGTAAAAATATAAGTGGAAAAAACCTGATTGAAGCAGCGATGAACATTTTACTTTGCTGTCTCCCCTGGGAATATTTTCTCAGCTAAAGCTTTCCAATGATTCCACTGTATGTATATATGTAATCTCAACAGTCTAGCAACTAGACATAGAGCCAATAAAGCCATGGAGATCAGTGGATAGGAGACAGTCATTGCGCCATAATCATCGTGGCATGGTAGTTGAAGGTGGGCAACACACTTCAGCTAATATGCCGCAAGAAGAATGGAACATTTTGACAAAAAATCGACCAAACCTTTTTTAGCTTGTTTGTCACACGCCGATTTTTTTCTTTTTTTGTCATTTTCAATATCGGTAGTATTAAACATACGAATCAATACAATACTGTACACAATTCTTCCACTGATTCCGGTTGCGGGCCATGTCTTCAAGAGTCCCAAGCCATTGCCACTCCTCATCTTTGGGTCCCCGTTCTGGAAGACGTATGAATCCAACAGCGGCTAGACACGACGTCAGCGATTTCATGTGCTGCCGCCAAGTGGAAGGCTGACCACCACGCGGTCGCTTCCAGCCAGGGCCTTGATGAGCGAATAGAGCGCGACGCGGTAGACGCTCAGGTGCCATGCGTAGGACGTGACCGAGTCATCTCAACTGGCGCAACAAAACCAGTTTGTTGAAGGGAATACTCGCCTTCCCCAAGATGCGACGTCGAACGTCATTACTATTAACTCGGTGTTGCCACCAAACACGAGCGATCCTCCGTAAGCAACCGGCATCGAAGGCAGAAAGACGACGCATGTCTTCTACGCGAATCGGCCAGGACTCGCACCCATTCAACAATACTGAGCGAACTGATGCGCTGTAAATGCGGCCCTTTAGTGAGAGTGAGACGTCACGACGACGCCACAAGTGCCTCAGATTGACAAATGTTGATCGAGCTTTAGCGATACGAAGCGAAACTTCTTTGTTGATAGTGCCGTCAGTAGAAACACAGCTCCCAAGGTAGACGAAACTATCCACCTGTTCAAGTTGTGCACCTTCGAGAGGGAGCACGGGAGCAGGTGAAAGCCAATCCTTGAGCAGTACTTTACACCTCGATGGGGCGAAGCTCATGCCATACTTGGATGCTTCAACCGCCAAACGATCCAGAAGAAGTTGCATACCCTGAGGATCGTCACCAAGTAAGGCGATATCATCAGCATAATCTAAGTCGGTCGCGCGCTCACCCGGTAGAAGCTCTAGGCCAAAGCATTGGGAATTTTCTGGGGCATTCGACAGAACGTCTTCGATTGCGAAGTTGAAGAGGAATGGGGACATAGGGCAGCCCTGTCGCACACCGCTTGGCAGTGAATTGCGAGGAAAGCTTGCCATAGACTCTCACTCTGCCGGATGTATGAAGGTAAGTGCTCGGAAGATGGCGGTATATTTCTCTGGCACCCCGTTCTTTAGTAAGCAACACCATAAAGCAGGACGATCAACGGAGTCAAAAGTGACACGTATGTCTAGGAATGCGATGATAGTGGGCCGTTGATAAATGTGGCGATGTTCGAGGAGCTGGCGGAGCGTGAAGATTTGATCCACGCATCCGCGGCCAGGACGGAAACCAGCTTGTTCTTCACGGTAGTATGGTTCACGTACTGGGGATAGTCTACGAAGCAGAATGGATGCCAGTAGTTTAGTGGCAACCGAAATAAGACTAATCCCGCGATGATTTGCACATGAAGTACGAGCGCCTTTCTTGAAAATTGGGACAATAACTGATTCGCCCCAAGAGGAAGGCACTTTCTCTTCATGCCAATTTTTTGCGAACAGCGCGGTTAGCTGGTTAATGATCGCCACACCGCCGTACTTGAATAGCTCCGGAGGTAGTCCGTCTAAGCCGGCAGCCTTGAAGCGCTTCAAGCGTCGAATCTCGAGGCAGACTTCTGCTTCGCTGGGTGGATTCAATGGAACGAGCCAGGGTGGACAACAAGATGTACTGCATGTACTGATGGATGGTGGAGGCCAGTTGAACTGCGAGTGAAATTGCTCGGCCCAGCGGTCCATACGCCTCTGTTGGTGGCTGATCGGAGACTCATCCACCTCACAAATGACCTCACTGACACCAGGCTACCTGAGGCCATTGGACCGAATGGGTTGGAAAAGCCTGCGAGTGTTGCCAGAGAGGGCAGCGGTCTCCATCTCTAAAGCACGCTCAGACCACCATGTCTCGCGATCCTTGTGTAGGCTTTGTTTGAGCAGCCGGTTGGCAGAACGGCGCCGCTCGTTGCAATCTGATTCCGCGGGGATATCTTCGCGGCGTTCGAACAGCTCCAGAGAACGAGCAGAGATCCAAGATTTCAAAGGGCGTCGAGTTAGACCGCAGCATGACTGTCCGGAAATGGTCATCGCTTTCCGGATACAAATCCAGTGTTGTTCCACTTCTCGCGGTGGATTGCAACTGAGTGCATATGCCAGTGAAGACTGATAGCTCTCCTGGACAGAGGAATCAGTTAATCTGTTTACATCAATCTTGCGGTGCTTCGTGTTTCGGGATCCTCCAAAACACATACAGATTTTCGCGCAGACCAGAGCATGATCTGAGTCAACGAAGGTGGACCAAAAGGACCTGCAGTCTAATACGCTGCCGCGCCATCTGAAGCTAATTGCAATGTGATCAATTTGAGACCACGGTTGTGTTGAAGAAGGGAGACGCCACGTTGCGGAACGCTTCTTCGTACGCCTGAAGTTAGTGCTCGAAAGAAACAGACGGTTGTCTTCGCACAATGTGAGAAGTCTCTCTCCGTTATCAGAGCGGTTCTCATCGAGCGAGTGATGACCACCAAGGTGGCGTTCGTATGGTAACAGGCGGCCAACCCGTGCATTAAAATCCCCAGCAAGGATAACGACATCCGACTTTTTAGCATTAGTCATGAGCTCATGTAGATCTCGGGAGAATTCGTCCTTGACCGAGTTGCCATTGCAGTCAGTTGGAGCGTACACGGAGATCACAAACAGATTGCGTCTCTCTTCGCGGTGCCTGTTGATTCTACATGAACCCCGAAGCCTAACTGCACCCAGTCGGCTGTTACTCGGGAACCAGTCCAGTAGTGCCGCCTCGGCCTTGCCACTCCGTGCTATACCTACACCAGCCAAACCCGCTGAGGCTGCTTCTGGATCTCCAGAAAGACGCAGGTGATATCTGGCTTCGTGGTCAGTGGGGGATGTCAATTTAAGCACAGTGCTGGGATCTTGCAATTGGATTTCTGAAAGGCAGCAGACATCAATGTCTAGGGAATCTAGGGTGCGCGCTAGACCGGCTTGCTGTCCATTCTGCATGAGTGTCCGAACGTTGAAGCACACCAGACGGAACGAGGATCGGGGACGAAGGAGAGCCATAGGTTGAACTCCTTGATCTGCGGAGCAACCGGAATCGCAGCCATATTGCTGAACACATGAATCGAGTAACCGAAAGTGAGGATTGTTAGCAAACAAATAATTGGCGTGTGATGAAGTAGCGTGAAAGTGAGTAGCAGGAACGGTAGCTGATGAGCGCGTTGTAATACAGTCCATGGTTTTGTGAGAGGGCGTGATACTACCCGGTTGCCAAAGCCGAAGTAGGGAGTTGACTTAGGGGACTCCACCCCGAGCCTTTGGCTAAATAACCTACCCGCAAGGCAGTGGGGCGAATTTAGGGAATCGCGCCCATTGGGGAGCGTTGACTGAATGTTCAGTTCATGCGTATTTGTTTGGTGGATTACCAAACAGGGGCCCAATACTCCCCCTGAAGTCAGCACAATTGCTGGAATACAATGCACCACGGAGGTGGAACATTGTCGCCGAACACTTTGATTCCACTGTGCTTAGAGAACTTAACGATTGTGTTAAGTTTAGCACGAAACTCTGACTTTATGATTTGATGGAGACGTGCATAGATAATTTATACTTATAATACTAAATGGAGAAAAGGAACTAATAAAGCTGCTACTTTACCAATGTTAGTATTACCATATAGTAAAGCGAAGCCTGATGGTGAGTGTCAGCATTTTAATACGATGGAGTTTAAGACCGTGATCATTCAGCTAGTGTGACTGTGTTTGCACAAGTTAATGGTAGATATTGCAGCCACCTACTACGGTAGTTTAGTAATGACTAAATGACAAGGTGAGCTGTAAATTTGGAGATAGGGGCTGTAATATCCGACCTTCCAATGAATTAGTGTTTACGCTGGTTGTCCGACTCGGTTTTGGTTGTGTTCATCATTTTCTGTGCACGTTATATACTATTTAGCCCACTCCAATAGGCTTCTTTTTATGGTATGTTTATTCAGGACAGCTCGAGTGATTTGTCTATGGTGAGAAGTTTGTTTAACCGATCATGAAACACAAGCGGGAACGCGCAGGATTTTACGGACAATGGAAGCCTACACCAGATGATTGCATATTTATTAAGAAAGAACTTTGCGCATACTCTGGTGCGCTATTTTGATTCTGTTTTAAAGTGTACAGTGTGGCTGTACCTTACTTCGCTTACGGCACCGCCTCGATCTCTTGTACATTTGTTTTAACCAATTACTTCATTCGGTATCTGCTAGCATTTCACTCAATGTGTCTTATCTCCACTGGCATTGTGCATTCACGCTGCAGGAGCAACATTGGTGATTGGTTCTTAGGGAATCGTGTGTTCAACTATCTTCACGCACTCAGGTCTTCTGCCTTGTATACGAGATGAGTGAAATCTCCATGGAAACCCTAATGAGAAAGCTATTTGCGCCAAGGATGTACAGCCGAACCATAAAGTCGTTTCAAGAACATTCACCTCTATCATGTGACATGCGTGCCTACTACTTATTGGCTAGCGGAATTGAATTGGTGATCAGAGCTACTGCCGTAGCTGAAACGTGAACATTTCTGAGTTGATTTTACACAGCTTGTACTCATATCGATAGCTGTTCTCTAGCACACTTTTGCATCAATCCGTTGACTGCTAATTTCGGTTGCGATTGGAGCTTGCAGGGAACGAAATCAGTTTGGCCAGAATCATACAGAACTATGCAGATCTAACACCTTGATTTTGGGGGTTGCCTTTGACTCTAGTGACCTCAACCGTTAGTGTCGTTGCGTGTTGATGAGTGGGGTGTCAGAGAGAGATTACTTCCACTTCCGAATCACATCAACTACTCTATGCGACTTCGTTTAAACGTCTATGGGAAGTTGTTTCTTATCTTCATCACTGCTAGTGAAAACTCCGTGTGGTCGTCCTTTCTTTCTCTTTGACTTTACTGACGGACCACCTGCAAACAATTCCGTGCTACCTGCCGCCTCTGAAGTGTTCGCCAGACTATGTAATCCACCGGTACATTTGCTTGTAGAATCTAGCTCATGCAACAGTAGCACATATATTTGACTACCCGAATGTCGGCATACGCGCCGGACATCCGTAGCGCCGACATAAATTTTTACGGTACTTGGCTGCAGCAACTCGGAACCGCCAATGACAGTGGTCCATGTGCTCACTAATCTGCGTGACCGTCCATCCTTCCGCGTAGGGGTGGGCGTCCTCGCGGTATACTCAGCCCGCGCGCGACTGGTGGTGGTCGCGCGGCAGCGAAGCGCCGTTACGGCGTATAAGCTGACACATTCTTCATTCTCATTCCTCCCAATCGGTCACTGTACGCGTAGGCGAAGCGCGTTGGGTTTTTCCAGGCTGTAATTATTCCTAAAATGGATACTACGTCAGAGTGTAGCCAAAGACCGAAGCAGTGACGCTCTTGTTTCCCGACTTTAACTCATGTATTCGAGTATAATAATCCACTTCATTCCTCTTCGAGCCGGGTTTCTGTTAACCTGTTTGTTCTCCTCTCGCCTCTTAATTTTTAAGTGCAATCCGTAGTAACTGGTCCAACCGCATTTTAGATCTCAAATCACTGCGACTTAACTGTATACACATCAAACTTGATCTCACGCACATTTATACGTTTATCTTGCACGGCAGCGACGTTTGAGAATATGGAAGGATTAGGATACTTACCACCGGTCTAATCGGGTTAAACCGTACTTGCTCCCACATGTTTCTCCTCTACGACACGGACAAGTTGAAAACTGTAAGTACAAATTGTCTGGTCACATGACAGTTTGTTTTTTGGGCTACCTTGCAAGCGCTTTATTAGTCATCCATATGTTATCTCTACACATAGCTGAAAATGCCATTTCTTGCAGACGGCACTAGAACTCACGCACTTTTCAAACTGTGGACTCATGTGTACCGGGTGCGACTTCTTGTGTAACGATTGACTAACTACAGACATTTGCTTCGTTGTGACATGAATTTAGTGTTTGGCATTCTACTTGTGCCAACCACAACTTGTCGAAGAATTAGTTTGTTGCTTCTTAGCATCAAGAGTCTACGATCACTTCGTAGACATCAAGTCACCGACCACGCACGCCAGCCAAAAGCGGCAGCATTCCGACCTTTACTCATGGCTAACGCAGACGGACGAAACAACTAATGTTTATCACAGCAGGGGGCATACCAGATGTAGCCACCTATGTGCATGTGCTTAGAAGGATAGTGGTAGCTTCTCTCTTTGTGGCTGCCACTTGTTTCTGTTTTCTCTTCCACCATGAGAACATTGTTTAAAAGTGGCTCTTGTATTACCGATTCACTGGTTTCTTCTTTGGTGATCCCCGCTTTTCAGTATTTTGCCACTTTTTGTCGTTTTGTTTAACATTCTGTACACATACTACCTTTTTTTCTACAGTCTCATGACACCTTCTGTGCGCCGATTGGAGTGGGTTCTCGACGATGCATTCATTCATGATCGGCTGTTACCTGGTCGAGAAGCCTATAACACCCGTCGCCGAGATATTGTTTTGCGGTATGCGCTTCAACACAACGGTTTGTCGAAGAGTTTGTGCAAGAAAACGCAAGTCAGCCCAGATGCTATGATGCAGTTGAGCTTTCAAGTATATCTCCACTGACAGCACCATATCGTCTTGCACTTACACCCTGTAGACTTTCCCACACCCCTTGTTGCACAACCATCAAAAGGCAGAGCAGGTGTTGGAATCCGATGAAAATCCTTTTCATAATTAACTATGCATTATCCATAGAGTACGACTGGTCATGACGATTCTCAGATAGTGCGACTTGTGATTGATGGTTTGTTTTGCTTGCCACTGCTCGACCTGCATCGCTTCGGGAGCCAATTGCATTTTTGTGTTATCCAGTAGTGATTACGCTTTATCCTTGTCATCCTGAGCCAGTTGTCAAGTGCTTCAGTCCCACAAGATCGTCATTGTTTGAATGATTGTTTGCCCCCCCCCGGTGATGTCTGCTCGGTGAACTTCGTATCTTTCCGAACTGTCAGTTATCAATACACCGCTGATATCTTGTGCTAACCAACATACGTTGCGGTTGCTTGCATTCGGTTCGTACAGCACAGCCGCAGCTATGAGTGTGAATGTTAAGGGTCTGTTGTTGTTGTTGTTGTTCCAGCGAGTCACTGTTGAATTGGCAATATATCCACAGTCTGCCAACAGCGACTGCCTTCCCAAAACATTAAGGAAGTACTATAGCGGTTGAAACCTTTCGAATTGCCGGACTCAATGGTGTAGTCCCCTCTCATCCAATAGGATGACGAGCAGTCGTTTGATCCCGTCGACGTCTACCAATAGTGCACAGTTCCTTAGATTCCATAAGGTAACCGGGATGTCGGTAGCTTATGCCGCGGGGTTAGGGTGATAGCGACAGCAGTTTACACGGTCAAATTACTGTTCGTATTATTACACGGCTAATCCTCCGCTGCTGTACGCACTATTGTCATGCTCCGGGCATGGCTCGGACACAGAATGACAGCTTTGCTCAGTTTGCCGGCGACTGTCTTCCGTCATTATATAAGTTGGTTCGCATTTGTTCGCTATTTTCTGGTAGATTTAATTTCCTTAGCCAATAATCTCTGCTGTCTGAGTTCTCACACACAAGTATCAAGTGCTTTCTGCCTGTCCGTATGCTTGCGTGCTGCTGTCTTCTGATTCATCTGTCGCTACTGACGATTCGGGAACTTGGAATTTTTAGTGCTCACGTGTGACTTAACGCAACTTACACAGCATTTTACCTTCCATTTTGTGTACAGTTGTTCCGCGCTCTGTACAAGACTGTTGTCTTGTTATACCTTCGTGCTTTATTGCTTTAGCCTAGCATGTTCGAATTTCGTTCAGCTACTTCTGTCTGAGATGTGCAATCAAGCACGAAGTTGGTCACCGTTATCGAATTGACAAAAATTCACTTTACAAATAGCTACGCTCCAACTTGAGCTTGTATGTCGCACTCTCTCCATATACCGCAGGAAATCGACTATGAATATGCTGTGACTCAGTACACCCATGAACTCGTCGCTTCCGTGCCGACTCTGTGAATTACAGTGCAACCCTAGTTCCCATGTTACGGGCAGTTCGTGGCTTAGTTTGATTATCAGTTAATTCACCTGGGCCGTATGAAGGTTCGTTAGAAACTTTCCCATCCCTTCGCCGCGATAAGCGGAAGGTTTCTGGGTTAACCCCTCTCCAACTTTGTAGCTGGCCCTCTCCTGCTTCTCCTGAGCTAGTAGTACTGTTAGTTGACCGATTGTCAGACATATATTACACGCACGATATAGCTCTCTTTGAATCGGGGTTCGCTGCTATGCAAGCGCAACGAGTTGACTGACGTATATCGCTGCACGCTTTGGTATGTGTGTTGCACCCTTAAGGTGCATCCCCAGGCCGATACAGCACCTGTTTTCACACTCATGGAACAGCCATAGAAATAGTCACTGTATCACCCTCTGTGATCGCATTGCCGACTAGATTGGTGAATGTATGACCAAGGCTCGTGAGGATTTTCACAGCTTCAATCATTTATGGGAAAGGTGGGTTGAAGCAAGGATTTACAACACCACGGTACCACCAGTGTTGGTGTGGATCAGCGACGTGGATGCCGGCCGTGTATAACCACCAATGTCTACGCAATACCGCTCGTGTCGGGTGCGAAGACTAAATAAGTAACGTTGTTGTTTCCCATCAAACCTCCCGGCGCTTTATCTGAGTCCCTGATTAACTCAATTTGCCTCCTGTGACTCGGCCATGTGCTCTGCAGACTACTCGGCAGTTGCCACGACACATATCGTTTCACAATATCGCGTCTACTTATATGAAACCCCTAAGTTAGGCACTCAGGCTGTTGTTTGCCTCCTTTCTCTGCGGTGACTTCCAGAAAGGCTACATTCTTGGTCGGACATGACACAGCCAACCAGTGGCGTTTTTTATTCTTTGCTTCACTTCTTACACATTTTTCTCATTGGTACTATTATTGTCAATGCATTTTTGACCGTTTTGATATGTGTTGCTGGCGATTCGCTGACCTCGGCTCGCAGCCTCTACGTCCCGGACTTCAGTTGCAGCGTCGCTATCTCTACTTAAAGACTGCAACCAAGCACGGAGTCAGTGGTACCGTGTTGGGACTTGGCAACACCACATTTCTCTGCTTTATTAGTTACGGTCCCAGTGACCGATTTGACTTCACTTCACTTCATTGCGAATCCCGGTTCCCTCTAAAGTTGCGCGTCGCAATCCATTTACATAAATAGGGCCCTAAAACTATCCTCAATTTGTCTTGTTATCATTACTTTCGTTTTTGCTGTGTGAATCAAGGCAACCTGATCCAATGCAGCTGTGTTCGTGGACTTTAGTGGTTCTGCCGAACCGCATTACTTGAACATGACGCATTTAGCCGCTGTAATTACAGTCACTTCCCTACTTGTTATTATCCTCTGTCCGTCTTGTGCATTTAGCGATCCCACGCTATGTACTAGCTGATATCTATTTACTTACTGGATCCTTAGAGTTGATTTACAACAGCGAAGCATGAGGTGATTCTGATCTATAACTTTTGAATCATGTTTAGCTATCTGTTTCGCTTCACTCTCTCTCCGTTTCACTTTTTCGTTACATTCGTCCCACTGAGCTCGCACATGACTTGGTGCATGGTCGACCAGCAGCCACTTACGAATCATGCAGCACCGCAGCCTTCAAGCACGGACGCACCGAGACTCTTCGCTCTGCCACAGTGGAAACCCGGCGGGTTGTGGAATTGATGCGCTCTGAGTCAAATATAGTTCACTCGCTTGGCGGCGGGAGAAAACCCGCAAACAACGCTGTTTCTGAGGCCGAGTTACTGCAGGCCTTAGTTGCTTGCTCCGTCCGCCACGCACGGCTAACGAAGGAGGCCGCTATGGGTCAGGGTACGTTCCATCTGCCAACTTTGGTATGTTTATATTAGGCGTTTTATCTTGTCATCCGATAGTGCCAATCATTTCACACTACACCGACATACTACTTGCTGGATTCATCGTATGCGTGTACCCTTTTTTGTCGGTACGATTGGCCTGCTTTCCAGTCCTCTCAATGTCGCCTATGCCTGCAACAACTAACGCCGCACTATCCTCTCGGATTGAGCTAGTCTCAGCCTCTGGACGCCTGTGCAATTGGCAGTGTTGCATCCACGCGTTGTAGTTGACTTCAGTTGCCATATGTCCCACCACAGCTATGTTCTCACACCTTCATATCCAGTGCATCCTTTATCTTATGCGAGAGGTTTCTCCTTCAGTGCTTCCTCTCCTTGCTTCCATTTTTAGGTTGGGATCGCCATTTGTTCGCTTTGCGCCATTTTGCACATCGACAGAATCGAATCGCCCTACCAGACCTATTTCTTGATGATAACTATGCCTTAATCAACACCATCGTTTTGTCCACCAGTACGCTCTCTGCTCCTGCATTCTCCATGGGAGGGTTCGCCGCAGTTCACCATGATGGGTATGGAATTGCGTACCGGATCAAAGTGAGTTCGGTTTCCTTATTGTGGGCCTCGAATAATTCGGCCTCTGAACGATTTTTTTCTTCATTTGAAGTCGCATGTTGCCATCCAAACTCCATGCGACACTCTTCATGTTTTCTGCTGTTTGGTGTTTCATATTTCTTTTAGTTTACCCAAAATATGCTTGCTAATGACGACATCCATCCTAATAGTTTTAGTTTCATACTTCAACCCGACCACGTGTTGGCACCATTTTGAAATATCCTTTCAAGCACGCCTCGCATAGTGACCGTGCACCGGTTATTTCCATAGAATTCCAAAGTACTACACCACTCTGGGGATGCCACGCTGACGCACTGTACTCTCCTGGTTTTAGCTGTTTTGGGTTTATTGGAACTGTTTCGGCGTAGGAATTTGTGTGGTTCTCTGGCTGTTATGATAGCGGTTGATGGGACGTAGAGTCGTCACAACAAAACTTCACCGTACTGGACATTGTGTTGACCTAACGTCAAGTGACATGAACCATGCAAGACAGTTAATTGCATCCATAATGCTTTCAAACTCCTCCTTAAGGAAACAGGGTCCCTCCATCCATTTTTCAGGATGGTCTTTAACTCCATCAACTATCACCATACGGCCTCGAATGCCCCAAACCGCGCCACTCGGCTAGATCTTATTGCCAACCTGCAGTAAAGAGCGGTGCACAACATTTGGATCGCTCAGAACAATGTAGTCATTAGCAGATCATCAGGTAATCAGCGAAGTCCGTTTTTCCGACTCTTTTCATGTGACATATTACGCGTTCAAGTCACGCACTCTGAAGAGTCTGCTCCAGATCAGTGACTTCGTGCTTCAGTTTCGTTTGACTCGCTTCTTCTACCTGATGGTTACCAGTTTGTAATGCCATTTCCATTTACTCAAAACAACCCGTCAACAGGAACCAGTGCACCTAGGTCACGTACGACGGTGGAGAACTGTAGGGCATGCGCTTCGAACCTATAGGAGTAGAAGCTCTGGTATTGTATGCAGCGTATCTTACACGCAGGCAGCCACCCTACCTATGAGAAGTGAGTCCTTCAGATGCACAGCTGTTGAATGGATTGTGAACCTTTCGACAGATAACCCTTGTTAACCCTGCAGTCATTGAGGCCATCAACAGAAGCACTGGAAAGGCACGTTGTCCTCTGACGGTTCTCCTTGACCCCAATAACGTTTCGAAGTCGAACAACACACATGCGGCTGTTCACTGGTATCCAGTCGACTAGATGGCCTTCAGCATAATTGCTGAGGGCAGTACCAACACCACAGTAACTTTGAACCGTTGACTCAAATACGCGTACGGTGTACTCGTTATCAGCAGTTTCGGAAGCAGAAAGTCGAAGATTCGTCACGACGCTGTTATCTTGTATATGTGTTTCGGAGACATCATACACGAATACCAAGGGAGTGGATATTGAGAGTTAGTGCTGCATCTTGGCCGAACTGAAACAGTGTATGGACGTTAAGTGAGCCATTGAGAAATGAGAAGCTTGGTTTGATAGCTTCAACTGCGAGATCAGTGGCAGTCCCATGCGCAATAGACGGGGGAGAAGAGAATTGTAAGGGTAGAGGATGAGAAGTGTTGGCGACGGGGTCCAGAAGACAGATGAGACTCTCCGGATGCCCATTCCAGAAACTGTTTTTGTTCGGGTGCTCTACCCCTAGACTTCCACTCAATATTCTGACACACAACACAGTGAGGTATATAGAGGTTCACTTGAGTGGCTCAACCCGGAGCCTTTGGCTCAACAGCCTGACCCACAACGCGATGAGGACCAAGTCCAACTGGAGAGGGTTATTGCAGTTTCTCATTGGGATCTGCTTGGGGCCTGCCACATGCGGCTTTTGAGGATCTAGGGCAATTCATGTTTTTCGACAGTAGTATCTTACGCACCTGCAATCACAGCTACTCGCATGTGGGCTTTGGCAGGCTTGCAGGAGCTGCCTGGATTGAGGCGCGCGGTAGCAAACCATTAAACACGGCGTGGTGCACTCCCACGGTCAGAGACAATGCTCTACGGCAATGGAGCTGTTAGACACTCCGTAGCCTGTTGTCTCCCATGGCTGTTTTAAGGGAAGAGGGCCATGAACCTCTACCAGCCCCCGAAGATGATTGTGAGACTGAGTTAGTCTGACCCCTAACCACTGACACGTTTGGTATGAGTAGTCCTAATGGTACTTTTAAGGTGCCACCCAGCGTAGCTCAATAGGTAACGGAGGTACACAAACCATCGCACCAAGTTAAGGTCCACTCGCGTCGTGATGGGATTTGTTTTTCCACTACGTCATTGTACTGTGTTGTGTCAATCTGAGACTTACCTCCGCCTAGGAGAATAATTTCCATTTCTGTGGTATACTATGATTTATTGTTGATAACAAGAGTTATGTGTCGAATGGTTCATAATCCATTCAACAGCTGTGCCATGATGCCATGTATTTCACGAGTATGCCCTTTAGTATGCATGAAGCTTCAGTGTGGTCAGTCGTGCCTGAACATGAGTGTTGAGCGCGATTAGGCACCCACCAAATCGCACGCGATCTACGCCACATCCTACCAAGCTTTCTCTGGCAACTCATGTCGTAGTCGTCTGAAATGCTTGTGCTTGACTTGGAATTGATCACTCAACGAGTGGCGCGCACTTTGGAGCGTTCGCGCCTGTAGGATGATATTTGATTGTGTTAAGGATTGATGGATGAACCCGATTTGCGTAAGTAGGAATTTGAAAGCGTTATGAATGCAATTAACTGGGAAAAGTGTAGTAAAGTGAGAGGGTGTCAGACAGATCGCCTCGCATGATTGGCTGCCTCATGCACATGAGTCACAGTAGAGCACCGGATGAGCGAAAGTCCACGATCAGAGGTATGGGACTACGTTGCACTTTTAAGACACTGAATCACCTGACGTAGCATCCTTCCTTTGAAAACACTTTGTTCTCCAGCCTCGTAGGAATGAATTCATGGGCTCACCTGTAAACGTTGAGTCGGTTGTGTTGTCCATCTGGATCTTCAAATGATTCTATGGCATTTCTCTGTGCGCGTTTCCGTCGGTTCACAGAACTCCACAGTTTTTGTTAGTTCAAACGTGTCCAGCAGTACATCGTACGGCAACTCGGTGGGGGAAGAGATTGTGGATTCGATCCGTCGTATTCGTAACTGATTGGCATGCCGAACGAAAGACTACGATCCCATAAACACGTGTACAGCACAGGGCCTTTACTTTTTCGCAACACTGCAGGTTGCCAAGTTTGGTGGTTCACCCGGCTCCCCTGGTAGAAACTCCTGCTCACGCCTGACACTAATGGCAGTTATATAACCTTCGGGCCTATTGCATCAATTAGAAGACATATTTCACACCCCAACATTGCTTCCGCTGGGTATCTGCCGCCTGGTGCAGCGGGGTTAGGCGTATCCTAAAAACTTAACATGACAGCTGTATGATCTCTGCCGATCCTTCTTACCGCAGGTTTAGAAGTGAACGCTTGAAGGTATCCACGAGTCCTTCTGCTTGCCCAAAGGATTGCGCATGCTCCGGAGCCGACTGACAGTGCTTGATACCATTGCGCTGACAAAAAGCATCAAACTCATGTGCGATAATTTGTGTACCGTTAACGGAAACCAGGACGTTCGGTGAACCGAACTGTGCAAATACCTGTTGTAGTTTTCATACTGTGGCCGCTGTCGTGGTTGTGTTCATAAGGTATACGTCCGTCCACTTGGTGTACGCAACAACCACAATTAAAAAACTGGCTTTACACTGGACCAGCAAATTCAATGTGAATTCTCTTCCAAGGCTTGAAGGCTAGCATTCAGGGTTGGATGATTTTGCCTTGACAAAATAACGCGTTAATCGTTCCCAAAATACACTGCACAATCGAAGCAGACTTTAATTGTATTTATAGCTTGCTTACTGACCTTCGACTTCTGGAATAGGAAGGTCAACTGTCAAAATTAGTATTTCCATGCTGACCCCACCAATCTTCAGGAAGTTGGCTTTTTCACGTACAAATCTTAGAACATTCCAGACGGTTCGAAATTGGTGCGATTATCAGTTACAGTCGATTAGTCGCCAAAATAATGGCGTTTCCGGGAAATTCTTATCTTTTCCTTGGTAGTTAGCTCTCGTGGGCTGTGTCTTACTGGCTTTCTGTCCACGCGCCCTCTATTGAACCCCCGTTTCCAAACCACCAGCTGTCATCGCACTTGATGCATGCTGGGAGTTTGAAGAATCGCTTGTGTGATAACAGCTTTTTCTAGTCGTGGCATGTGTGGCGCATCCAATCGCTCTCCAGCATCATATTTCATCACATCTTAGCTTTATTAAGTGTTCGCCAACTACCCGGATAAACCTCCCTCCACAACTAATTACTCAAATTGACCTCCATTGTATTCGCTTTATTACGGGTGCAGTTGTTGTCGTCGTTATTGTTCTTGCACACGTTAGTTGGACGTGAGAGACACTTTAGCCATTGTACCGCAAGTAGTTATCATATCTGGAAAACTAGATTATTCAGCCCATTGGAAGTGGGTGTTTCGGTCTTTCTCCCATCCATGCACTCCACAAGGATGAGAGAGCAAAGCTGAAACCTTCCATACGGTCTCAGTAATCGGGTGGCACAGGATGACTTCAAAGTCAACCGATGCCACAATTGATATTGCATGCCGCAATCCAAAACACACGGCGGATACTCCAAAACCCAACAGTCAGTTGCGTGGTACAATTTTTGTTTGCCACGCTTGCTGCTTAACTGTGTCGTCTTTCTCTCACTACTCTCGGCGTAACTATTTCGATCTTACTGCCATTGCTTCTAGTGGATTCAACTCGCCAATGTTTTTCCCTTGCTCTTCACTCCCTCAGGAAGACGAATGTGGCTCCGTGTTCACCAGCTGGCGCAGCTCATCTTACACCAAAGTAGGCGAATTAGCCGACGCATTCGTTCTCAGTGCCGGAAGGATTGCTCGTCTCCTTCAGAAAATTGCCCGCTAAAAGCCACAGTTGATGTCAATGCATAATATCAGCATTAAAAACACTGGTAGCCAGTTCATCTGACTTTCATTCATTCAATTTTTGCCCCTTTTTGGACTTTTTCTACTCTACTTGTTTGGAGCCTTGCTTCATATGGCTAAAGTGATCAGCTTCACGGTACTTGTGTATCGATTGGACATGTTGGACCATCTGGTTTGTCCTAATCGCATGATTCCATTTGTATACTCAAAATTATTATCACGATTCACTGAGTCATTTTTAGCTGCACAAAAGAACCTATTGCTTTATTTCACTTTTGTATACTTTATCTGATTTTTATTCTTCTATCTTAATCGTGCCTTGGTGACTTTTGCCTTTTTCGATCACCTCCTGACAACCTGGACCTGAGCGCCGTCTGTTCGGCCATGTTTGTCGTTCTGGCGATATTCTTCCCTGCTTTTTGACTGCAGAGCCATCACTTCGTGTACCATTGGATCTTGTTAATGTGTCGAGATCTGTGTTTTCGAGTACATTTGTCATGCATTCCACTCGATATATCTTACTATCAACCATCCCGTGCTCTGCGCAATTTAAAGAAGGTTTTCCTTTTTTCTAGCATACCAGATTCCCGGTTCAATCGGTCCTTCACCTTAGGGCACACTTAAGAAATTACCTCCTATGTTGTGCTGTCAATATCACCGTCCCAGATCGCACTCAGCCTATTAGTTCGCAACGGTTTGGACGATGCAGCATGGCTATCTGACGCCTCCAGCTCCCATCGACATTGTGCTCGCAAAACTATAAATCACTGTCCTTTTCGGTCCTGGCGCGTTTCTCACTTTTAAGATGCAAGATACCATTATCAGTGGTCTTAGGTAGCACCAAACAACCGCTTTCATTTGTTTGTTGTGTCACAATGGACCTCAACTTACCGCAAATGAACGAGTCCCTACTGACTTCCAAAAACCGAAAGCACCTCTGAAGGCGGTGAGATGTCGTCTTACAGTCAAGCACCTAACGTGCAACCAATAATTGCTTCCGTATATTGTTTTTCGGTACGATACCTGGCTTAGTAATGCTCCGGCCTGGCCAGTCACTGATGTGACAATAAAGTATGGGGTCTGATCGAGATCTTGGTCCTGTTAATGAGTGTTCATTCACAAGATGGTGTGGCTCAGTGCTTTCCTGATATGTCACAGCATCGGTGTACTGGTACTCCCAACTTCCATCTTCCACACCCGTCCTAACGATTGACAGTTCACCATTTACCCTTGCTTTTTGTTTTTTTATTATTTGCCCTTTATCTCTTTTTCCTGGTTTCGTCAACTTAATTATTATGGCTACGTGGCTCAGAGCAGCGGACATGTTACTCCTTGACACTCAATCCATAGCTGATAATTCGAAGTGAGATGAGTTGTTTGCCACATTCGCCATTTCCATCTGCTCGTGCATCATGTATGCCAACCGTCACTCGCCTCTTCTCTAAATTCGATGCTAAATGTTCAGCGGCAATCCTAGGCTTTGTTCTGAATTAACTAGCTTTTTGTATTCTAAGCAGCCCACTTCAACGATCCACCAATGATTCATTCCGTCCCGCGTATGACACAAACAAGCTACCCCAAATCGGCGTCCAGCGAACTACATCTAGCTCTCCATCGTCACATCCCAGCACGCCTATCTCCTCCTCATTTAACATGCTCATCGAAATCCGTTAACCTTCTGGACAGTGGCCACTGTGGTGAACTTTCAGACATTACGCCTTCGGCACTTTGTAACAGTGGCTTCTGTTTGCCCTACTGCGTGATGATCGTCCGCTTGTTTTACTGCGTGAAATTTCTCGCACTTGTTTCTTATCCTTGAATTGCACTTTGCATGATTCTAGCTGTTCCTGAGCTTCACTCATCTTGAGGCTGTGTGGCTAATGCGCTTTGTTTTCAGTTACCATGCATCCCTGAGCGGAAGCCTCTAGGAAGAGCGGCATTGTCACAGACATTGATAAGCCCAACTGGCCTGAATAGCATGGAGTGCAGAGCATATGCGCACTAGCGAACCCAGACCGGCGATAAGGCGTGCAATGGCGACTGATCAGCTGAGTAGACGAAGAGTGAATCAACTGTCACCCAGAAGAGACTCCCAGAAGTGCACAAGCCGGCTGGTCGAGGCAGAATCGACACGGCTTGGCATGAATTGGGTGCAACCTTTCAGACCAATGAACCTATGCCGACACGAGTGGAGGGGACATCAGAACTGGCGAGTACAAAGCTGTTAGTAAAACAGCATTTCGACTTTGCATGGAGTAAAATGGTACTGTGATCCACGAACAGTGGATTTCGATCGCAGCTGAGATTTTGCTTTAGCTGTCGAGGGTTGCGTAATACTACTGACGCAAAGAAAAGTGTGATCAGTTGTGGCAGCAGAGCCGCGTTAAAATAGTGACTCGAGAGGCATTTCGAAGATGTACGTGTTGCTACATCTTTGCCAAATATATCCACCGTCCCCGAAGTAGTAATTTTGATGGAATTTGCATATAATATGCATCATTCGAGATTTCGACAGGTTATGAACTTCATGCAGAAAGAAATCGAATAAACTGAATGGTAAAGTTTTTTCTCAGTTAACAAGACCAGACGCTGACTGACTTCATCACTAAAGAGAACTGTGGCGGCTGCCAGTTCAGATGATAAAAGAGGTGGACTTAAACGAGCAGAGATCTGGGTGAGATTTCATAAGGAGGTTTCGTTGCGAAAGAATAAACCAAGCTCACGCTCTTCTTTTTATGGAAATGCGTGATCTTTCACCACCTGATTGGTTCTTCCTCGCCCTAATTGTTGTCTGCTCAGCACGACGAAGATAACGAGCGCAGATTGCGTCAAATTCTTCGTCCGATGAGAACTGCTCGAAGTCAACTTCTACAGACAAGGCAAAGAGTGGAGTGCGGCATATCATACAAATGTTGTCCAAATCCACCTGGCACACGCGGCAGTAGTAACCGCCACACTCCACACATCGGGAGAAGTTATCCTCGAATACTGCCTTTTTGGATGGATTCCCCTCCTCACCACAATACGAACACATGACTCGCTTGATGCCGAAGAATTGCATGAACCTTCGAAACCATGGTGATCGGTTCATCATTCTACCCAACCGAGTAGTCTTTGGAGCTTGTCGTCCGGGTTTCACATCAACCGTTCGCATTTTGTGAATCAGGCGATGAAACAGTCCGCGATTGTTTCGGATATGAGTCCGCAACCAGGCAGCCCGTTGCATACCTCGATTGGGATAGTACCAAATTAATATCAAATGACGCAGACGAAGCACGTAAACCTGCAAGAACAGCGTACGCATCGCATGAAACGTAGTTTAAAATGTAGGCACAGCATATTCAGAACAGGTGTATCCTTTTAGCGGTGTAAATAATGTGATGAAAAGACGAAAACTGACAGCTTTTATCATTTCGTATTGTCTCGTCAGTACCAATACAATATAGGAAAAATATATGACTACAGCTAGTGTGTGATCGAATATAATAGAGACAGGATGGAGGACAGGTATGACACCCCTCCGTCCATAGGAGCCTTAGACTTATGGACATCTTTTTTGCACACGGAGTGCCGACTGGTCGCAGGCGGGTGTTACTGTTTTAGCAACATTGTGGCAGGATCAGATTGATGACCGGTAGTCAATGGGTGTCTACCTATGGATGGAGGAGGTAGTTTCCGTGATCAAGCGGTAGGGGAAACCGAAGACAGGGTGCTTTCACTCTGCAACGACTTGGACACATTTTCTCTGACTCTACAGTCTAACGCCCTATCGGTTCGGCTGGCATATCATGTTCCACAGCTACAAATAGTTCAATAGCGTATGATGGGATAAAAAGCATTGGCTTTACAAGACCCATAGGATGGTAAATGCAAAATAGATAAAAATCATCAGATTCCGACATGGAACTGAAATGCCAATAGTCTAAACCTAGTACATCACACCACAATGTGTTATTTGTCACTCAGATGATTGTCTAACAATTGTTTGAAGACTGTAATGTTCGGAGCGTTTACCACATGCATTGGCAAGTCATTCCATTGTGAACAGATTCTAAGAGAGTAAAAATATTTTCTACACTCTAATCGGGAGTGTTGGATTATCAGCTTGAGGTTATGACCTCTCGATCGCTTATATGAGGCTAGGATGAGCAGCGATTTGCACGGGTGATCGCTTTCCGTTAATATCCGGTATGCGAGAATGAGATCTCCGCGTAGTCGTCGGTATTCGGAGGAAAACATTCCGATTAAACTGAGACGCACTTCATAATGGAGACCAGATAATCCGCGTGTTGCCTTCGTAGCTCTTCGTTGGGGCTGCTCTAAGAGATGAATGTCCCGTTTTAACCATGGGCACCAAGCCTGGACGGCATATTCGACGTGGGGACGGATATAGGAGTTGACAAGCATGGGTACCAACCGTCGTTCAAAAACACCAAAAGCTCGCCTCAAAAGTCTCAGCTTCATGTTCGCCACGTTCGCTGCTTTGGAACATTGGAGCGAATTCCCCAGACTTTCTTGCACAATGATACCTAAGTCTTTTTCTGTGGTCACCCGCCGTAAAACGTACTGCCCCAAGAGGTACGTGTTGGCAAGATTGCTGCGTAATGACAGTAGGTGACACTTGGCAGGATTCAGGGGAGGTGATTTATATCTGCCCATTTGTTGATTCTATCCAAATCATTCGGGAGGAGGGCACAGTCTGATGTTGAGCGAATGACTCACCAGATTTTTGCGTCATCTGCAAAAATTTGCATCGAGGATTGAATATTATCCGGGAGGTCGTTAATGTAGACCAGAAAAAGGAGGGGACCAAGGTCGGATCCTTGAGGAACACCGCTGGAGATGCAGAGGGTTTCCGAGAGGGCATCGGCGACTCTGACCTTGATCGTTCTGTCATGCAAATATGCTGCTAGCCAGGTGAGTAGGGAACCATGGATACCGTAGGCACGAAGCTTATGAAGCAGAGCTAAGTGACTGACTCTGTCGAATGCCTTCGAAAAGTCTAGGTAAATCACATCAAGGGGGGATCCTTCATCAAGCGCTTTGGTCCATGAATCTCGAGCAAGAAGCAGATTTGTGAGGCAAGGTCGTTTGCGCCTAAAGCCGTGTTGGAGGTGAGAAATTAGCTTCAGACTCTCAAAATATCGTGTAATTTCATCTGCAACTAACGATTCCATTACTTTTGATAAAACAGGGAGGAGAGTAATGGGTCGGTAGTTGGCAGGATCCGATCGCTTACCTCCTTTGTATATCGGAGTGACTATCCCGCTTTTCCACTCAGACGGAAGTGTTTGGGAATTGAGTAGACTTTGGAAGAAGCTTGCGAGGTGTGCTGCTATGGTGGGAGCAAGAGTTTTAAGAACTTTGGGTCTGATCTTGTCGACTCCCGGAGCGCTATTTTCTCTTAGAGACCGTAATTTGCTAGCGACAGCTGCTGAGGTAAAAGTGACAGTTGATATGCCGACCACGTTGGGTGAATGCTGGTTTGGCAAAGGTTCTATGGCGTTTGCAGTCACTGTGCCAAACTGCAGAAGTAATGCGTTCGCAGCATCCACAGCAGTAGTCGTTAGGCCACCATCCGTCTTGAGTGGTGGTATTCCTGTTTTAACTTCCTTCTGCTGTTCACGTACCTGTACAGCAGTTTTGTATTGTTCGTGAATTTAAGTACCATGTTTTTTTGCCATTCGTGCTTATCGGCTCTAATCAGTGATGTGCAATAGTTCCTCATTATTTTGTAATTCTCCCGGGTGGCGTCGCCATTGTTCAGCGCGTATTGTCTCCAGATCTCGTCTCTGGTGCTAATCCATTTACGCGTTCTGCTTCGGATCCAGGTGTTGGTCCGGCGCGGCACTCGTAATGGTATGACTTTTGAGGCTGCTTGCGTGACACAACTAATTTTGTCTTTTAGTTCGTTCCACGCGTCGTCTGCCGTGCTCTGTAGATTGAGGTCCCAGTTGACGGTTGTCGCTAGGCTGTGAAGCACGGAATAGTTGGTTATAGTTCGTCTGTTTTCATGTCTGATTTCAGTAGTATTGGCGTAACACACATAGGCAAAATTCAACACTGAGTGGTCACTGTTGCCTAATGGTGGATCGTATGAAATTGTCTCAATCATCAACTCTTCGTTGGTTAGGATTAAATCTAGAAGCGATGGCTTATTTGAACCGCGGTGTCTAGTTGGTCGGTGCACGTGGTTGTACAGGGCTGCTGTATCCATAAACTCGAGAATCTTTGATTTAAGGACCACTAGAAGTCACTGAGACAATTGAGGGTACATTAAAATCGCCCATGATTAGACAATGTGAGTACTTTTGAGGAACTGCATAATGAAGCGCGTTTAACAGAATGTCATCTCGGTCTGCGGTGGAGTTCGGTGGCCTGTAGACAACTGCCAACAGACAAGCATCCCACGTCTTCTTCGAAGGTTCACCACCTCGGCCATTTAGCTGCATTCGGCAAAACAAAGCGTCGGAGACAGCAAGGTGACATTCGTTAATAGCCTCACATCTTAGACAATTCCGATAGTACAGATCAACGCCGCCACCGCGAGATGGACGATCATTGCGAATAACTGGCATATCACTGATTTCGATTTCCGTGTCGAGCATGTCATTGGAGAGCCAGGTTTCAGTTACAGCTATGATATCCCAATTGATTGTGTTATGTCGATGGCGCAATTCAGGTAGCTTAGAGTTGAGCCCCTGAGCGTTTGTGTAGCAGCACTGTATCTGTTGACACATTAGGAGCTCGGTTCGTTGTGGTTGACCGGCACATCTTGTGCCGGTCTGCGTACGTTTTTTGTCACAGGCGTTTGCACATTTGTCTGACCTGATTTAGGAACAACCGAGTCCGGTTCGTCTGTATCTGTGGCCCGTACTTTGTTTAGGAAGGGTCTTAAACGTATTTCAGGTGGCCCACCTTTTCTGTTGTCGTGCCACGCTTGGACGGCCGTTGATACCATCTCAGGTGTAGCCACGGTGACTTTCAAAATTTTTGGCCCGTTACCCTGATAGTTTAAGGAGGCCGCTAGACGGGTGACATCGAAAGTCACGATATTTTTTATGTTGTAGAGCTCCGTTATGTACCTCCACTCTTCTATATCGTGCTTCTGATGTTCTTTTATATCGCCATGGTTAAGTTCTGGAACACCGTGGACCAGCACTACTTTCTTCGTCGCATCATGTCGTGACGCGACTGGGTCGGATTTCCATTTTTGCCTTTCTATCCATGGTTTATCTGGGAAAATGCGGGCGCTGAGAGAGGAATTCGTCAGCTTGTGGCCTGTCAGGAGCACATCCTCCAGGTCGCGTGTGTTACCAAATGTTACTCGTAATAACCGAGGTTGTCCTAAATGCGGCGAGGATGAATTTCGGGAAATGCGCGTAAGACTAGTTGGAGGAACGTTAATTTCGAGAGCACAGCATATCTCTGCCCAGCGGTTTTGTTCTTCCACTTGCCTACCTTTTAGCGACTCGCTCGTGGGCTCTGGTACATTTGAACACATAATTGTCAGAGCGTTTTTGTTGTACACTAACTGCTTATCCTGAGAGTTGTTACTGGTGGACATTTGTCTAGGTTGACTACTCATCTTGTCCCTTGTGCAGGGAGAGCCTGCGCTGCTACATGGCTGCATACGCGGAACGCCGTTTTTTGTGCTGTTTGTGGGGGTCAAATGTTGCTGTCCAACCCGTGACAGGGTTGAGCGTGCAGTTTGTGCATAGCTGTTTAAGCCTTGAGACATTTCACAAAACTTGGGAGGTCGTTCGACAGGTCTGTCTTCGCTGACGTCCATCAACAATGGTGTGCTATTTTTACCGTACTGTGTGGCTTCTTTACTAAATGGCTCTCGCCTTTTGACAGGTCTGGGATTCGGGCTACTTAATACACTAATCTGCTACTCAAGTTCAGTGGGTTTTTTACCAAGCTAGCGGTCAATTCCATTTGTTCTGTGACCGTTAGGGCTAAACTTTCACATTTCGCCATAAGCGCTTAAATGACCCTAGCCCACGGTTTGGTTGAACATGCGTCACACACACACACAAGCCGTCGATCGACCTACAGTGTGTTGTAGCCCCATCGAAGGAATTGGAACAAAGCGAGCATTTGGTGGCCGACGTGTCTGGACCACTACTGACCTTGGATTTGTTGTTCATTGGCGTAGCTGAGGCACTGCATCGGCCCATCATGTGCACACGAACAGTGGGCATTGGAATATCACCAAGACTTTGCGTGGCAAAACGCGCTAAGGGAGTTACAGCGGTAATTGCGTGATCACAAAATAGCCTCTATTTGTGGTATCTAGAGGTGCACTACAATAAGTAAGGTGTTGTCTAGTAGCCTTAAAAAAGCTCCGTCGAATGGTATCCCAATGTAGTGGGAAAAATAAAAAAGAACGCAGTTTCACAAGCAGGTCTTACCGAATGATCTGTCAAAGACGGTGTTCAGGATTTACCAGTGTGTCGTTAGTAGTACTGCAGAAAGACTGAATCCGTTGGATAGGTCTCGACGATCCGAGACGATTGAGTGTACTTCCGAAGATGTGGCACAAAATGGAAGGCGAATAGAGAGAAGTAACACAATTATCCTGAAGCGCGCGTCACGCGGTCACACACACGATATCTGTCGATTCGGTTTATACAATGCGAACTGACACTGATAGGTTATCCTTCCTACGTTGGGGGGACAAGTACTTGTTGGTTCGGTTAATAAAAACGGCTTCGGTAGCACAGTAGGTCCTATGAACAACGAACATTGTGCGGTTTATCGCCCAAATGGTGTCAAAATCCCTCTTAAATGGTAGTTTCATAAAGATTTTTTATCTTGTCCACCGTGAGTACCGTCTATTATCGTTCTTGTCTGGCTGTTTTGCAATAAACGGCACGTATAACCATCTTTCAAGGGTGTATTAGTCAACAACTCCAATCCGGCTTTCAGGCAGTTAGGGCTGCAAATTCTTTGATTAAATCGTGACTAGTGTCCGTTTGTACCTCATTGAATCGAAGTTGCTAAAGTGCAGCTATTGCCATGGCGTTATTTAAACAGTACTATTCGCCTACTGCGATCCACAGCACTAATGTACACGGTTCTACGAGCACTTCAGCAACTTCAGCTCACTTGGTGCAAGTCGACAACTCAGGGCCTCAAAGCGACTTCAACGGAACTTTCAAAGTCCCCCCGAATGGGCTGCAACATGGCGTTAATAAGCACAGAATCGTCCAGGTATTCCACGGACACGAGTGGGTTTGGGGGGCTTCTTTTCCGAAGCGCTCGCGTTAGGGACAACCTCCTTTGTTCTGGATGGTGTGGAACTATATCAAAAGATATGTCCAGTCTCGTTCAGAGAACAGTCTTGGATCGGAAGGTGCACAGCTCCTAAGCACGAATTGCTTTGTGATAACCTGCTCCGTCACCCCGAATATGAAGAAGGAGCCATCAGCAATACGCGTAATCGACGCTTCGCTGCCACGCGACTATCAGCAGTCGCGTGCGAGGTAACCCGCATCAGCGTAAGCTCGAATTGGCGATCTGTGGATTACGAACCAGACGCTTGAGCAACCAGCTGACAAGTCTGTTAAGCATTTTAGCCGCAACTTTTCTTTCTTTGAGTTCCCGCAGGACGGCAAATTCCCATGTCAGCTTCCGTGCTCTCACAGGCTGGTTACTTAGAGCAGTTAGTTATCGCTGTCGACGGCCACAAGATGTCCAAACTAATGAGGTATCCAGATCGTACGCTATGCTACTCATTACATCTTGGATTGTACGGCGTTTTGATAAGTTATCAACGTTCAGAGTGTCATTGCAATTATGTTTCACCTCGTTTCCGCGAGTTTTATTTCTACTCCTGTGCCTCTTAATTTGAGTGGTAGGTGGACAGTGTGAGTTTGGGCGCGCTCAGTTCATGGTAAACCAATATACGGAAGTCGGAACCGTCTCTTACTGGACGGCAGATTGTAAGCTCACTGAATAAGATCAGAGTGTATAATGTTGTGGTGTGGTAGATACTATTGTACGCATCCGAATTATACCCGCTTTACAGTGAAGAAACCGAAAGACTCGTTATTTTTGACGTTTGGGGCTGGTAATGCTTTTCTAACCTCTAATGGAAACGCTGTTACTATAGCTGAAATTCGTCAACTGGTAGTCTTTGGTGAACTCGAACCGCTCACGTTGATTAGGTCGTCATGTCTTACGTATGCTTACGAGCTGCGTAGCTGTGTTTTCGGTTCACTAACACAGCCCTTGATTGCGTGAATCATCTTGATAGTCTTCTAAATGGCTAGAGAGTATCAAGCTACTCGCTTAGAAGTTTATTGGATTTGATGGCTGTCGTCTTCTTGCATGAAGGCGTCGGGACCGACCATGCCAATGGCCGGGTAACTCTTCGAATATGGCGTAGCCCCGATGTCAGTGCTATTCTTGTATTGTAACCGACAAATCGGTCTTAGGACCTAAGTAACTACTAGCGCAGCCTGGTCAATCCAAAAGTCAAAGCCGGAAGAGCTAAGGTGCTATTTGCAAATGGTTAGACAACAATTTGATAACAAATCTCAAACACTAATTCGGCTCTCAACTGCTACGCGCCGTTAACAGCAATGATCAACAGATAGGCACAATGAAGCGAAGCGGTTCTAATGGCAGCGTGGTTTAAAGCGAAGTGATCAATCGTCAGTCGATCAGCCAAGGAACAGTGCACATGGAACACGGGAGTAGCAATCTTAACCATTGAGCGATGCAAAGCGGATAAATTCTTGTGGTTAATCAAGGTCCAACTGTGAACGCGAAACAAAGTAACTGAGGTTTTATAATGCAAAGTCCGATAAGCAGTGAAGGGGTAGTGAGTGGTCGTTTTGGGGTCAATCAACAGGGGAAATCTCCAGTGAGGTTGAGCAGGTTAATTTGTCCGTTACATGTATTTATGCCTCTATATTCCACTCCCTAGACGATATTTATTCATTTTTTGTCCTTAACGCTTTCCCTCACTCTTTACTTTTCCTTTGGTTTCTAAGCATCACTGAAGGTAAGTGGATACATCACACTTCGGTTATCATATCAGCTGAACTGTACGTTACTCACTGAACTGTGACCCGCCTCTGAAACGTTGTATTTGTGTGAGAGTAACTTTGATTCTACAACGCGGCACCTATGTCGACAGTTGGCAATCTACAACTAAAAAAGCATTGAGATTCTGACGAATAACTTGGTAGCGTTTCACTTCGATACAATTCAGAGAGATATCCAGAATTTTACCCTGAACTCTAAAGCAGAGCACGGTCACCGAATGAATTGAATCCATGGTGAAGCACGACGGCACATGTGTAGCCGGATACTCAACCGCTTTCATTCCGTAGGTTTGTCCCGCTTCACTATGTCTAATGTGTCTATGTGAGCTTCATGCAGTTGCGTACCGATGAATCTTTTGTCATACCTCATTGTTTCTAATTAGCGTTTGGACCTGACAATTACTGAATCATGCTACCACACGAAGATGACTCAAGGCTAATTGTTCAGGTTGCGCCACAGACAAAACAGTCGAATACGATCGGATGGGTGTCCATGTCTGAGCTATGCGCAACTGTTGCATGCTGATCGTCGAAATAGCTAATATCATCGTTTCGGCTACAGAACGATCTTACTGATCGTCGCGTTGTTATGCAAGTTGCTGCACCTATGCAAAGGCATTACGCACGTTTTTTTCGCTAACAACAGGGACATGCTATTTTGTCATATAATTCACTTTCATATGAGACATTCCGTCTCTCACTCAATCCTTCATTCTGTATCCGTTTACCCATCGGCTAACTAACCTGTGCTATTGCGGGTCTGATCTAGTAAGCCTTTTCGAAGCCAAACAGATTTAACAAATTGATGCTGACAGAATCTCCATTGTATACAATAATAGTAATATTAATAAGAAGGTATATGGATTTCTGGTGGTACCGAGAGACCTCCCACAAAGGGACAGATCGTATTTACATGTGCAGCATGCTCACGCATGCAGTGCTGTGGTAAACTAAGGTGATCGCTGTCTTTTTCTTAACGGTATGCACAGTCAAGTTTGATAATACAGGCGTCACGCACCTGGTACGTGTAGCCCCATCTAACTCATCCGAGGCGGTGGATTAAGCCGAAAGAGCATGTGTCACCGGCAATTATCCGTCCTTCTTCCTATTCAGCTACAGCAACCGACCATGCCATGTAGTTAGCGACTGATTTCCTAATTACACTGTGCGGCTACTTGTTTCATCTGGCTCTTTCATATATCAAACTGCAATGATTAAAAGCTAAGCATAAGTCAATTGCTTTCAGCTTAACCGAGCTAACTAACTCACCTCGAAGAAGATGGACAGCAAAGTGAAAACAAGCATAATCACCACGGAGCCGTTCGTCTTCGCATTGGGTGGAGTAGCTGTGGGCTTACAGGCCGCAGCATCGACGTTCAGTGCCACATCCTTGATAGGGTTCAGCATTCCCAACAGTGCGCGAACCACATTCGCGTAAGAGGATGTTCCAGTAATTCTCGGTGCAGATGCACCCGCCTCTGCCGACAGGTAGTCATCTCCCATGCTGGATTTTGCGCCGAATGTGGAGAACTCTTCAGAGAACACAGGCGTTATGGTAGTTAAAACTTCGTACATAACATAGTCTGCAAACAAGACAACCAATAATGTTGTCATCCACATGAAAAGTATAACAAATGACCGAAATGCCTTGCGTTTTTCCGAATTCGTCCAGGTGAAGCTGCTAAGTTTCTTGTATTCCCATGTTTCTGTGCCTATTAGGGGCACGGTAGCAATCAGCCCTTGAGAAACTGCACGTTTTTCCTGTCACAAAGGTAGCACAGCATGACGAGTTAGCTTGTGAATTTTTGTTGACCATACCTCAATTTAACCATTTTCAACACATTATATTTACTTCAATAGCATTTCGTACGCTAATCGCTGAGCTATTTTATCGTTCAGGGCAAAAGGCCGCATTGTGCAACTGAGGTTATCCAGTCATTGCCTTGAAATAACCTACGAAGGACGGGAATACATTCCGCTTCTTATTTCCTAACACTTGTGTTTGCGACATATATATATATATATATATATATATATATACGGCATTTTCAGTAGTCAAAGAATTGCGATAGTATGAGAAATTCAAATTAAAGAATGTTAGCGTCTGTCAAATCTCGGTGCATTTGGTTCATTTCTAACTGAATCGCGAACCAGATTGAGAATGCGTCCCACAATCTGTTCACACGAATGCTGTAACATGCCCTGCCATAATCTGTTAAATTTCTGACAACAAACTACGGTCGCAAAAGTAGAGGTCGGCCGTCCCATCCTTTCATGGCTCGCCGATTATTAACCCAAGTGTAGCCTGCACACTGTTTATTTAGTGGATCTGGTCGAGCAACCGCCACATTTTCCACTTCGTACCTATCTGGTGGGTGAAAACAATCAATCACACTTTAATAAAGACGGTGGATGCTCCGTACCGCCACCAAGTGATATGCTGATCGCGCCGACGGCTGGGATCTCAAAACGGCCCATGACCGTTTCAAGATCAGATGTGCTGTCTTAACCTACCTCTGAACACAAGCTTCCGAAATTTTTTGAACTGATGATAGTAGCGTCTTCATGTGTCACATGGACCCAAGGCGGCGGCGCATCAGTGAGCGACCATAATTTAATCTTCTCGCGCTTTACATCAACGATCACTGCACCGCATGTTCTACCGTATGCTTACATTCGATTTTTATTATGCACAAGTTATTTATCGACGCAGTTAACTTGGAGACGCTCGGTAGATGTTAGAAGGCTTGCGCTTCACAGTCGCTCACATTCGTGACTGTCTCGTCACGTGATAGTGTTGGACACACGCACGACAGTCGTTCAGTGCTAGACCGCTCAGCATTCATGACTGTCCTTTCATGTGGTTGGTCTATTGATCTTTTGCGTCCCAGTTGCTCAGCTTTGTCAGTACGGTGGTGATCTTGCTTCCCTTTCGGGGTGCGTTCAGTTACAGTCAGGCGTTATAACAATAGATGAGTCACCTTTTTTATTTTTTGGTATTCACCCCAACAATCCTACGAGACTTCTCAAACATTTGCTTTTTAACCCGTGATAAATTACTGTCCACTGATCATCATTAAAGGCTAGCCAGAGGTGAGAAACAACTTAGCGCTTGTACCATAATACAAAAAGTTACCGTATATGAAAACTAAGACACTAAACTTTGCGGAATAACTATAAACTACATTTCACCGTATGTATGTACTCATGATTGGGACAGGAAGCTTAGTAGGAGTGGGATGGACAAAGAGACTCACAACACAAACCCCAATGAAATCGGCACTTCGCCATGTCAACAAGTGTATCCAAACAAACGTGTTCATCGTCTTTCGTGCTCCAACCCAGTAGTCATGGGACACCAGCCGATACCATGTTCGAAGTGAGGGTCTCCATTCCTCTTGACCAAGTCATCTCTTGGCCTCCTCTCCTCTTCTTCGATCCGCACCCCCGGGTGCGCAAATAATGCTCGGCGCGCGAGTCGAAGCGCTGGCATGCGCAACAAGGGGCACAACCATGGAAGTGTCGTTCGTGATGTAACGGTGCTGAGCGGTTTATTCGCTGTTCCTGCACCATATACGCGACTCCGGACGCAATCATTGCTCAGTCGGTGTTCGCACCAGATCTGAGCTAAACTGCGAAGGCAGCAATGGCCGAACGCAACGACTCTCTTTGGAAAGGTCTGTCTACTGGGCCAGGTTTCGCAACCGTACAGGAGGGTTGAAAGCATAGTGGCGCTGTAAACTGCTCTTCAGGGCTAGAGTGATGTCAGCAGCGCCATAGGTGGTGGAGGTTAGCAAAATGGCCTCGAGCTTTCGCTATACGATTCCTGACCTCATCTTAATTCCCGAGGGTGCTAATATAGCTGCCCAGCTACTTAAATTTCTGGATGACTTCTAGCTGATCACAGCCAAGCGTCAGCGCAGGGATGGATCTTCGCCAATCGTAGAGAATTACTTAGCATTTTGAAGGTGTAAACCAAAGCCCAAAACGATTGACAGCCAATGTTAATCTGTCCAGTGTTGCTTAGTACGTTTAGGAGCTGTCAGAGATACTGACAATGGCGTCGGCGCAATTGTAGTTAAGAAGTCGATCACCTAGGAGAAGCCCTACAGCTTGTCGTGCCCAGTGAACATAGTTTCATGACTGCGTCGATGGCGAAGTTATAAAGGTTGATAGCATGCTATTTTGTCTCACACGGTTGAAGATCTTGAAGGATTGCGACAAGCTCCCGTAAGCCCTCTCCGAACTACGCACTCATAGCTGTTTGATAATCTTTGTGTATTATATTACATGTATCGTATAAATATATATACCTATTAAATTACACATTCTATTGATCAAACAGTCTCAAAGCGGACATCGATCCACCGAATAGAAGGCACTTCTGATGTCGGAAAACACAACTACGGTGGAACAGCAATTAATATGGACGATCCAACACCTAACCTAATGTGAAGATGTGGTCAATACAAACCAGTTCGAAGAAAACTGGTTTGCTTCTCGCGAATCTGGTTTTCACGGGTGTAAGCCAGTCTATGGAGAACGACAGGGGCAAGTAGAGGCAAATGAGATCAGACGGATAACTCTAGTCTAGCTACAATGAACAATGAATTTATACGGGTTAAGAAGCGTCTCTTTACAAGTCCCGTTGGTTAGTTGCAGGGGATATCAACATAACAATAATGATGATAAGGATAGTAAAATAGTTAATACTTTAAATATGAAAATAAGGACTTATCGTTTGCTTCGCTGCAGTCTTGCGATCCTCTTAGATTCACAGCATCCACAGGTAACAACAAATAATTTCATGGTATACTCCAGATAGAGGATGGGGACGTAGTGTTAAGTAACAAAGTGTAAGTGGATGAGTGCGTCGTCCAATCGTCTTTTAAATACTGTTAGTGTCGGTGCAGAGACGACCGATTCTGGGAGAGCATTCCACGGGTGACAGACACGGATGGAAAAGAAATTTCTGCGGCACTCCAAACGACTGTATTGTTCTGCGAGTTTTAATGAGTGGCCCCTCAGAGTTGTATTGCTGCTGAGTTGCAGTAAAGAGCGGCACACATGATGTGGGTCTCGCAGAATCAAGTATGCCATAATCAGGTCGCCTCTTAGTCTGCGATAGCTTCCACTGAACAATCCCAGTCGTCGCAGCCTCTCCTGGTAGGAAAGATTGCGCATTCCAATTACGTTCTTAGATGCCCGGCGTTGTGGCTGCTCCAGTGCATTAAGGTCGTGTTTCAGCCATGGATACCAGGCTTGAATTGCATATTCAACATGGGGGCGAACATACGCACTGAGCATTTGTCGAAATATGGAGCTGTTTATTTGTCCAAACGCCCGCCTCAACAGCCCGACGTGTTGGTTCCCGGTCTTCGAGGCCTTTTCGGATTGTCTGGAACAACCCAAGTCATCTTGAACCAGGACACCCAAGTCACCTTCGAGAGTTGATTGTTGCAGTACATCCGTTCCGAGTCGGTATGAGTAGCTGCTTTGATGTCGGATGGAAAGCACCTTGCATTTACTGACGTTGAAATGCAATAAGTTTTGGGTTGACCATTGATACACCTTATCTATATCACTCTGAAGCACATGTTGGTCGGTGTTCGCCTGGATCCTGCGCCAGATCTTGATATCGTCGGCACACATTAGGAAGTTTGAAACGATTCCCTGTGCAAGATCATTAATAAACACCAAAAACAAACGTGGACCTAGAACTGAGCCTTGCGGCACACCACACTCAACTTGTATGGGGTTCGATAAAGAGCTCCGAACTCTGACCACTAATTGCCGTTGAAGTAGAAAGTTGGCAATCCAGCTTAAAAGAGGGTCTCCGATCCCGTAATGCTGCAGCTTGGATAGTAGTATCCGATGGTCTGGACGATCGAAAGCTTTGGAAAAATCCAGGTAGATCACATCAACATCTTCTCCAGCGTCGGCTGCCTCGGTCCTACTACTGCGTGCAATTAGTAAATTAGCTGTACATGACCGCTGTCGACGGAAACCGTGCTGTTCAGAGGTGATGAGGTTGCAGTTTTCCAGATAGCACACCAGTGCATCGGTAACTATGGATTCCATGACCTTGGAGAGTATAGGAAGAAGGGTTACTGGGCGGTAGTTGGAGGGATCAGTTCTGCTTCCACCTTTGTGAATCGGGCTTATTATTCCAAGCTTCCACATGGCGGGAACTTGGTTCTGGTCTAAGCAGTGCTGGAAAAACTGAGCTAAATGTCCTGCCAGTTGGTTTGCTGCTGCTCCCAATGCCTCTGGACGTATGGTGTCGACACCCGGCGAGCTGTGTTTGCGTAGAGAAGTCTGCTTTTGCAATACAGCCTCTGCGGTAAAATTGATGTGGGTTAGTCCTGGTGAGCAGAATACAAAGCTTGGTAGATCGCTTGGTGGCAAGACTCCTTGAAACGTGGGCGCGTATTGAATCTGCAGCGCGTTTGCAATTTCCATAGATGTTCTTGTTGGGCCATTAGCCGTCTTGAGTGGAGGAAATCCTTGCCTCACCTTTCGTAGGCTATTAACGTGCTTGTACAGCAGTTTGTGGTTAGCACTGAATGTTTTTGCGATGTTCTGCTGATAGGCGGCTTTGTCTTCTCTTAACAGTTGAGTGCAGTGGTTACGTTGGGCTACGTAGTTGTCCCAAGTTTCCGGTGCTGGAGCTTCTCTGTACACTCGCCATGCTGCGTTGCGTACTGTCATCCATTTTCGGGTTCTGCTCCTAACGAAAGAAACTGATTTGCACTTATTGC